CTTGTGACTTGCTCGGTGTTTTGCAAGATCCTCCTAACCAAAGGCACCTCAACTATCCCCCAGAAATATACGTCTTTTGATTGTATATAAAAGACCAATATGTGAAATGGGCTTGAGTTTTCGCCTCGATGGTATTTTCTAATAGCTCATCTCCCTAGCCCCGTATAAAAGCCTCATCTTCCGTCTTCAAGGCGATTCGCAAACGAACGTCCATCCCGCCTCAGCTCAATAGATGCCTTCTTTTCTACCCTATTGAGCATGAGCTGCCACCCTGGTCACCGAAGATTACAACACCCGTACCAAAATACCGTCTTATCCTGCAACCCGCATCACGTTTAAACACATCTATTATCACATTTATTCCCCCGGCCCATGTCCGTCCATTCCTCAACTCAAATTCAAGATCGAGATTAGCGAGCGGTCTTATGTAGCCGGAACCCGAACTTCGTTTCCATATCGACTCGCATCGCGCTATATGCTGGTTACTTGAAAAGAATCGTTGTATTTTGGCTTTGGGCAGGTACTGAGTTGGCTGAGGATGTTTCGAGTGATGGAAGAAGAGGCCACTCGGAAGGTCATCGATGGTACAGTAGTGGCATATGGCGCCCAGCCCAGCCCGGGGACAACAGCAGGATTTCCAAGCACGCTTTCAGCTACCTGTGTTGGATGGAATATTTTGAGCTTGAGCTTGCGAGGGGATGGGCGTATGGTTGGTATATATCTAGGGGTATTGTGACTATTATTGCTGATAGTTTGCTAGCTGTGTCTGTACAAACTCATAGATGTTTCTGCAATAAGAGAATCCTTTTGTAGGCGTGGAGTACTTTCGTTTTCTGACTCTCGACCATGCGGCACGCTCTTTCTCTTATAATCATTCCATGATACACACGAGTATTGCTTGCTGTTCTTCATCATACACCACTGGGTGACTAGGTATTGTTGCTGCACTCGACCTCAAAAGATCATGATTCAAAACATGCGCATTCAGTCCAAAACCATGATTGATTGATTAGTTCCTTACGAACGCTACCCTACATAAGTCCTCAAACTCCTTCTATGGGGATATCTCTTCAACCCACCCCTTTCTCTGCATACAACACTTGATATATACATCCCTATATTCATATCCTACCGACCTCCAATGTGATATCTAACACCCCTGAACGGCAAACCACTCGTCCGCTGCGGTGGATTCTCACCCTCTTCTGAAGAATCCTCTTCCACGACCCGCCGCAAGAAGACCGCGGGTTGACCGGGGTTGGGAGAGCTTTGAATTTGGCCGTAAGGGTTCAAGGATCGGATTTGAGGGGTTAGAGAGTATGGTTGGGATGCAAGAGCTTGCGGTGTATACACTACTTGCTGCTGCTGTAGTGGGTATTGATACTGTATGCTACGCTGTTGACCTTGCGTCTGTACGTATGCAAAAGGCTGGCTTGCTTGGGGATGGGTTTGTTGAGAGGATGGGTGCCCATATTGGCTGTTAGGATGCTGTCCGAAGGTTGTATAACCAGCAGGAATAAAGGGCTGTTGTTGGAACGGAACACCACCTCGGAACTGGAACTGGGCGGAGCTTGGTGCTTGATCCATTCTCTGGATCTGGTAATTAGAGTCCAGCGTTGCGTAGCCTGGTGGGGCATAACTTAGTTGCCTATACGAAGGGGGTGAGGTGGTGTTTGAGACATATACAGGCGGAAGAGAAGCATTGCCGGCGTTTGAAACGACAGAGGCATATGGGGATGGTAGAGAGGCTGTCATAATGTCTGGTGGTGCTGTTGATGACGAGTGGATGGAAGCACTAGAAATAGAGGGAGGTGATGAGCAATGGGATTGGGATGCGTAATCGGATACAAAGGAGGCATTGTAGGTCATACCGCGGACGAAGTCTGCAAGAGGAATTCCAGTGCCGGGCCGGACTGAGGGAGGGTACATCTCTGAAAGTGTCTGTGAAGTAGACATGTTGGGTATTGGTAAGTGTGTGGGATATAATGGAAAGGAGGGAAAAGTTCTTCATTTGTGGAGTGAGTGGGAATTATATAGACGTTCTTGTGGTGCTCTCTCCTTTTCGGTAATAACAAGGTTTTCTGAATCCAACATGTACAGAAAATGGTGAATGGCCGTAGGCACCTTCGTGTTCACCTTAGCCTTCCTCAGAATGCAACAGTACAAGTGAGCGCTCTTGCACATTCACTAGACTGTCACTTGTGTAGAAGAAGACTGCGAGTGCGACGCTGGAGCACTGAAATCATGCTTCGAGAAAACAATCATCTAATAGTAGCTTGTAGTATGCGAAGAAAGTGTGACTGACAACAACATGACTAGACACTCATAGATTCAGCAAGCGATATCATTGAGAATTGGTGTCGTGACCACGTAAACGCTTTCCAATGATACGAGTGGAAAGAAATGACCTATACATGTTGCTAAAATGTGAAGAGGGGATAATTGTACGTAATAATTGGGGCCCCAATAATTGTTCTGCTTCGACCTTGGTTTCGGTCATCTTCACTGAGCTAGATTAACCCGTGAAAGTCTCCATTGCCTAGATCACTCTAGCCGCATATGTTGCGGGGTGTAGCAGCATAGGAGAATTACAAAGCGAAGGCTAATCGATAGCAAGAAGCACTGACTCACTCTCACTCTCTGACATCGCTTGTCTCGATAAGCAGTGCTAGCTGAATAGGAAAGTCTCAAACGAGGATAGAAGTTCTGATGAAGCAGAGATGAACTCCAAGAGTCCTGGAGAAAATGTATCAAGCTGAAGTATGAACAAGGGCTATAATAAAAAGTCCAATTGGAATCGGATGAGGATTCGGGTGGTTGGCTCTTGCCGCAGAAAGTTACAGAGATACAGAATTAGAGATGTGATGCAACGCATCATAATCTCACAGTATGTACATCTGCGAGTGTGAGTTGAAAAGAAGCAAAAGGAATTCCTCTTTGAAAAAGAAGTGAGCCTGATTCGAAACCTTACCCCACATTCCTTAGCTTGCTGGGGTCCCGGTGCCCAGGCCCCTGGAACCGGCGATCGCAAGCCATGTGCTTGACAGGCCGGTATCGCTAGAAGGAAGCTATGACTGATCTTCATCTTCAACGTTTCAAAGATGGTCTACAAGTGCGACAGAATATAGAATTTTTCTCAGTAACAAAAGTCACGCACAACCTACCATTTAGCCTGCAGATGCTGGTTTCTGTGCTCCCTGTTTTGCAGCAGGCTGGGATGTAGTGCAGCTGTTGGGAAAATTGATGCTGGCAAGGAGCCAGTGTATCGGGAACGGAGCCAGCTACACCCGAAGTCCATAGGTGGGGTTTGGTAAAGAGATGCTCGGTCAAGGCCAATGTTAGCCAGAAGAACGGAGACGTCGGAGAGGATCAGAACTTTGAAGACCGAGTGTTGATCTATTGGCGAACTAGATGTGATGCAGCAACTCGTAGCTGGACTAGAGTAGGCAGGAGACAGACTGCTTGCACCAAGTTCGAGCCCCAACAAAGCGCCATACTCGTAGAACAATGGACATAAAAGGCCAGCCGACTTGAATCATGCACATTGATGCAGACGTAGAGTCAGGAGGTCCAATTCCAACTCTTCTAATCCGAGTTGTCGCCTACTCTCTCAAATATACTCATAGACAATCCGGGCCGATGATGCAGCCTTGCTATGGGGGGGTTGCAGCCAAAAGACGCCTGATAGGAGGTCCTCTAGCTTGGCATCCCGTTCATGCATCGGGTTTTCGTCATAGTGGATGGAGAGAAAGGTTCTACTGTATCTGAAGGGGTATGAGAACTGCGCATCTTCCCCAATAGCATCGAATCATCTCATTCTAAATATGCGAGTGCAGCAATATCGAAGCGGCTATTATTACTCTAGTCGCATCGCATGTTCGTCTCACCCCTCTTGACCCCACAATCCCTTGCCCTCATGGCAGTACTCCGTATGATCGGGTGGTGCGTCGGCCTGGCCCTGCGAATAAACATCCCTTTCTCTGGGACAGAATCAGGTCATTCGCGGGCCAGAGATAGGCCAGCAAATATTTAGCCTAGCTAGCCTAGCCCAGGATGTAGGATGCGATGTTTGGAGGGTGAGATGCAACCGATGCATGGACGTTGAGGTTTTGAGGTATTTGCAGTAGTGTATGCAATGCGTATAAAATTCGTACTTTGCTGAGAGAGGAGAGGTCTTTCTTTCACTTCTGCCGCATTTCTAGAAAGTCGACAGAAGATCCCACCCAACGGCGACGGGTGAAACAGATCTGCAAGCTGTGCTTTTCCGGGCGGGTGGTCCTACTGTAGGTCTAGGTCCAGGTAGGGTAGGTACCTAAACATCGGCTCGACCAGACAATCTGGTGATGCACTTGTACTGTATGTAGTAGTAGGCGTGGGCGAGGGGTAGTGTAGTGGTGACCTCGTGGTAGGGTTGTTGTCCACGGAGGGTATGTTGGTTGGCCCTATTCTGCAGGTGGAAAGTGACTTACCTTCCGCGGCCAAGCTGCGGGAACGAGCGTGCCAACCTTAGAGGAAGCCGCACTCTACTTACTTACTTACTTACTCTCTCTTACCGCGCCTTCTTCACTTCACTCACCTACGCCTTCTGCTTCGCACTGTGCAGTGCAGCACACTGCAGTACAGCAATTCGATTTATCTCCCTCGAATTCTATCACCAATGTACTCGGATTACCTTAGGACGGTCAAAGCCGTGTGAATTGGAATCGCCATAGGACAGCTTATTACAAGGTAGATACAGGCCACGAGGTTCCCCGCCTACGCCACATCCCTACGTCTCGACGAAACATCCTCAGCTCGCTGGAGGAAGCCAAGATCCAATTTCCAATCTGCTTCACTTCTCGCCGAGTCTATACTATTACCGACCTCTTGAAATCCACATCAGCGACTACGAATGATCAAGATTCGAGCTCAACCCCGTCTAGATTGCGTCGTCCGCCATTGCGGCGCATACAAAGCAGCATAGAACATCGAGCGCACGAGGAGCGCCAACACTCGACGCCATGTCAGGCCTTTTTGGCATCAAGAAATGGGGAGGGTCAGCATCTGTCAGTATAGTCTCCTATTACATGTTTGGATGTATTGGTTCTTGATTTGAAATCCTTCTGGAGATATGATCCAAGTAATTGCTTCACTAACGCGATACTATCTAATAGGGAGCCATGAGCCCAGGCGTTACCTCCCCTTCAAAAAGCAAGAAAGATGCGGAGCCTGAACCGGAAATCACTCCTCTAGTGAAGATGTTACAACATGCGGGACCCATACGAAATGATGGAAGTGATAAATTCTACGGAATGGAGAATGTACGCTGACCCTGGATTTTCTAATCGACCCTTACTGACATGCTATATAGTTTGGGAACACATGGTTTGATGAATCGCATGCTTTCAGGTCTAATATGCTAACTTTTACAGTTATTGCAACTCAATAGTCCAAGCCTTATACTACTCCGTTCCATTCCGAGAACATGTCGTCAAATACCCCCCACACTCACCTTACGATACGCCCAACGGACATCCACCTATTGTCACTCCAATAAGAGCACCGATACAGAATGGAGCGGCAGTATCGCCAACAGGCAAACCCAAGGGTATATCCGCGGCTGAGGCAATGAAGAGACGAGCAGCCGTAAATGCAGGTCAGGCAGTACCCGCGCAGGCGGGACAGAAGCCGGAGGATAAACCAGACTCGCCAGAATACAAAAAGAAGCATGCTATGCTTGCAGGACCAATACTGGAACTGACATATGAGAATGCGAGCTCGTATGGCATGGAGGAATCTACTTTTACAGCTTTGAAGGATATATTCATGGCTCTTATTGCGAATAATTCACGAACAGGGGTTTTGAGTCCTCAAAGGTTTCTAGAGATTTTCAAGCGCGATAATGAGATGTTCCGGACTTCGATGCACCAAGATGCTCATGAGTTCTATGGATTGGTTCTTAACGCCGTTATATCGAACGTCGAAGCAAACTCCCATAGGCTGAAGGAGCTAGAACCTCCTCGGGATGACCACAATTTAGCACTATCTATGAAGGCTGCAGTAACATCAGCCGCTACTGCAATGGGAATGGGTTCCGGGACAAGGTCTCCAGGAACAGGATGGGTTCATGATATATTTGAAGGAGTATTGACCTCGGAAACCAAGTGTCTAACCTGTGAAACGGCGTCACAACGAGATGAGACCTTTTTGGATCTATCAATCGACTTGGAAGAGCACTCGTCAGTCACTTCGTGCTTACGGAAATTTTCGGCTGAGGAAATGCTTTGCGAGAGGAACAAGTTCCACTGCGATAACTGTGGAGGTCTTCAAGAAGCAGAGAAGCGTATGAAAATCAAGCGGTTACCAAAGATTCTCGCTCTGCACCTGAAGAGATTCAAATATACCGAGGATATGACCCGGCTGCAGAAGTTGTTTCACCGAGTAGTTTATCCGTACCACCTCCGGATGTTTAATACAACAGACGATGCCGAGGATCCAGATCGACTTTACGAGCTCTATGCTGTGGTTGTGCATATTGGTGGAAATGCTTACCACGGCCACTATGTCTCGGTCATCAAAACACAAGACAGGGGCTGGTTACTATTCGACGACGAGATGGTCGAGCCAGTTGATAAGTCCTATGTGCGGAATTTCTTTGGAGACAAACCCGGACAGGCTTGTGCCTACGTCCTCTTCTATCAAGAAACAACAGTGGAAGCTATGCGACGGGAAATGGAAGCCGAGGGCCCCACCGAGGTTGTCAGCGCAACTAAACAACAAGAGACTGCTAATGGCCACCCTCAACCGAATGGTACTTACCCTGCTTCCGTCTCCAAGCCGGCCTTTGCTTCTAGCCCAGAAGAGACTAAAGAGTTCGTATCGCTCGATCATGCAGTATCCTCGCCGTTACCTATGTCAAACCACACAATTCCTCGAATACTTCCCTCGGCAGCTTCACCTCAAGTGCCTATTCTTGATGCAGCAAGGGTTAAGACCAAAGAGGCAAAGGAACGTGAGAAGAAGGAGCTAAAGGAAGCGGAGAAGTCGAGGAAAGTCGCAGAGAAAGAAAAGCAAAAGGCAGAAGAACAAAAGAGAAAAGAGGCCATGCAAACAAGAAAAGATTTGCTCAAGTCCCAAGACGCAGAAGTCAGGAAGGCGCTAGCGGCAAGTAAGCACTCGGCGGCAGAAGAAGAAGAGCGGAGAAAGCGCGAAGTCGATTCCTCCGCATCAACTAGCGAAACAGGAAAAGAGAATGGCCACGCCGAAAAAGGCTTTGCGCGAGGCCTGAGTCGGGCTCACAAGGGAAGCAAGAGCATGAGTCGAAAGAGCTTTGGCTTCTTGGGAAGCAAGTATGGAGAAGCGAAGACTCACGCAGATGATACCAATACGGCAGTCGAAGGGGCTTCAGGACCACAGACGCCGGAGAAACATTCGAAATCCACAAAGGACAGATTTAGCTTCAGTGGCTTGGGAAGGAAGAAAAGTAATCTCATCTGAAGGGCGAGGCCCAGTGAGATTTGTATTATGATTTTGACATTTCATGGTGTGCTCCGAGGATCTAAAGGTCTTAAAAACATATCATCCCGAGACACAAGGTAAATAGGATTGGTGGTTGATGTGGTTTGGCAAGTATACAATTAAAAGTCTACGGAAGATACCACTATTTTGTCATGGGAGTTGTTTTGGATGCGGGGGATTGAGGCCATTGATACCAAAATGGATTTGTATAGCAGACCGAACACTTGCATGGTGACATTGGACTACTTTATGGTGCGGCGCGAGGATATAATGGGATTTGGTGGCATTCTTTCTCTTCAACTGTGTATTGGATATTTTGCCTTGTGGTTATTTTGATACAATGCCAGGCTTTTAGATCCCCATAGGTAGCCACCACCAGCACCAATAATCGATTTCTCCTGAACGCCAGGCCAGATGCACTTCACGCCTCCTATCTATTCAGCAGTGTGCCTCGTGTCCGTCATGACTGCATGCCTGCCGTATCCTACACGCCTCCATTCAAACCCTGTTCCTTCGTCTCCCCTTATCCCAAAGCCAGCTCATACAGTATAATCGTCACGTTGATCCCTATTAACGGTACTGCGGAAAATCAGTAAATCTTTCAAGTTAACCGGCTCCAGCAGTCTGTCCCCTCCTCTCCCTTTTCCCCCCGATTGCCCCCTGGAAACCAAAAGAAAATCAGAAAACCTACTCCTCATCAAAGTCCTAACACTCGTCATCAACCCAATCAACCTATTCTTAACACTCTCGCTCCCGGCACCACCACTACCACCACCAAACGCGGGCTCAGCAACTGTATTCGACCATCCCACTATTCGTTTCATCAGTACAGTACATGACCCAAGAATCGTTTCGGAAGGGGTGGAGTGCGTACCGCGCGCGAGAAATCGATCTTCAGACAACACAGCTATGGCGTTTATGAGGAGGACGGAGACTGGAGGAGTAGAGTTAGTTGGGCAAAGGAGGGAGGGGAAGACGGGGGTTGTACTGTAGATTAGATTTCCAAATGCGAAGAACATCATCTTGGCGGCTTGGATCTGCAGGGTGTTGAGTGGGAGTGCGAGGCGCAATGGGGGAGGAGGACGTTCAAAGATGCCAGATTGGGGATGCGTGTGCACGGTCCAGGCGAGGCTATTTCGTTCGACGCGGCTTTGCCTTGGGAGGTTTGTATCCCTTTTGCACTCTACTTTTGTATATTGGGCGGACCTATGGTTTCTTTTCAATTCCTGTGAATTTCGTGTAGGGGTTATGATTATGTGAGTATACGGGATATTGTATTTGTAAAGAAAGAACATATGTCATAGCGAAAAGCTGAAGCTTGCGTCGAGGCTACCACTCTGGAGCAACGTGTCTCCAGCCTCATTCACAATGAAGCCTATTGGTACATACTTCTCCCTTTATTTTCCTTCACACGACTTCTCAAGCTTATACTGATACACTTGTCAGATGCCGTTCTCATTTTAGTCCTCCCAACCCTCATCCTGCTCCACCTCGTTATAGCCCCTTATACCAAAGTCGAAGAATCGTTCAATCTCCAGGCGACACATGATATCTCCACCTACGGCTTCCAAGTTACTTCTGACACCTATGACCATATTTATTTTCCTGGCGCTGTGCCAAGGACGTTCTTCGGTGCTCTGGTCCTGTCTGCGCTCTCTAGCCCTGTTTTCAGTGTCATTGGAAGGCAACATGCGCAGCTTATTGCGAGAGCTGTACTCGGACTTTTCAATACGTACTCTTTGTTGAGGTTTAAGCATGGGCTGGATGGAGAGTTCGGGAGGGGTGTCGGCAGGTGGTTTATATTGTTGATGGCAGGACAGTTTCATGTCTTGTTCTATGCGAGTAGGACGCTGCCGAATATGTACGCGTTTGGACTTAGTGAGTTATCCTGATTATGAAGTGAGATATGTTATACTAAGCCGGCTTAGCTACATTGGCATTCAATGCTCTTTTGCCTCTTATTGGATCTAAAAAGATCCAAAGGGAGTCGAGTGGGGTGAAAAAGGCTATGTTTCTGTTCGTCTTTGCCGGAGTAGTTTTCCGGTCTGAGATTGCTCTGCTACTTGCAACCCAGCTATTGGTCTTGCTCGTTCAAAGAAAGATCTCGCTGAAGAGTATCATACCAGCAGGAATTATAAGTGCTTTCGTTGCTTTAGTCATCTCGGTACCTATTGACTCCTATTTCTGGCAAAAGCCTCTTTGGCCCGAGCTATGGGGCTTCTACTACAACGCTATCCAGGGGAAGTCAGCGGATTGGGGAACATCACCATTCAGCTACTACTTTGCCTCTCTTCTACCAAAACTACTTCTAAACCCGCTCATATTGCTCCTCCTCCCTCTCGCGCATTCCATCCCGGCAACGCAACATCCAACAATGAACCTAGCCGTCCCATCATTGCTATACATCGCCATCTACAGCCTACAACCGCACAAAGAAGCCCGCTTCATTATCTACGTCGTCCCAGCCCTCACAGCCGCAGCCGCACTCCCAGCATCCTACATCTGGACGCGACGCTCAAAAAGCTGGCTCTATATCCTAGGCTCTGCCTTGCTAGCAGCATCGATAGCAGGAAGCTTCGTAGCATCAACATGCATGCTCCTAATATCCTCACTCAACTATCCCGGCGGCGATGCGCTTACCTCCGTACACTCAATCCTGCACCATACCGCTAATAACCCCCAAAACATCACCATCCACATGGACGTCCTCTCCTGCATGACAGGCATCACCCGCTTCCAGCAACTGCCCTCTCCATATACCCTTAACGGAAAGCACACATTTATCTACTACGACAAAACGGAAAACGGGACCACGCTTCTGGATCCTGCATTCTGGGCGCAGATGGATTATGCGTTGATGGAGGAGCCGGGGAAGGCGATTGGGAAGTGGGAGGTGCTGGATACGGTGTATGCGTATACTGGGATTGAGATTTTGCGGCCTGGGGATGGGAGTTCGTTTTCCGAGAATATGGAGAGGGTTTATGCTGCTAATAATATTACGGTTGAGCATGATGGGAAGGTGGAGGCGCCGGGGAGTGAGGAGGTTCAGGCTGCTGTTGACGGTGAGGAGGTGAAGAATACGGTTAGAGTTGGGGAAGAGGAACGGAGGAGTATGGAGGATTTGAAAGCGAGGTTATTACTTGAGGAGATGAGTAAGTTTGGGACATTTAATTTGTTAAGGGATGGTGTTAGGACTGTCACTGGAGGGTGGTGGGTTGGGCCAAGAATGGAACCTAGGATTAGGGTTTTGAAGAGGGTGGAGGACGATATACCTTAAGTATCTAAAAACAACGCTAGTATCAGGTTTTCCTGTTCAAAAACAATATGATGAGTGAGATTGGTCAAACAAAGAGGCTAGGACTCGCCCACTAGGCAAGGACGTACAGTCTTACACCTCTTGAACATAAGACCTCAACCAAAGTGGACCCTTCTACTAAAGAGCTCTTGACTGTGCGTACTGTCACTCAACTTCCAGACTTGATAGCGCTACACATACCAAGTCAACTTTCCATTCTCTCCGAGCCTCAAGATAACGAAAACCAAATGCGTAGTCTGCATACACGATAGGAAGTTGTTACCGACAAGCCATCCTTAGGAACTGGTACATTTCAATCATTTAGAACTTTTCGGGGCAATACAGTACTCTGGACTTTCCCACGCCAAAAAATACCAAAAAGGTACGTCTGGACCTTCCAGCAACCATAAGCCACCAGGTGGACTAGACTGCCCTCACTGGCAAAAATCCTAGCTAGGATAGGACAGCCTTTAAGGTTTTTGAGGGGAAGCAATCTTCCAGCGAGGCTTCCGGAATTCCGAAAACAACGTGAAAAGCAGTGCCGAGCAGAAGAACCTGTCTCTTTTATTTTGCAGCGGTTATAACATCAAAGCTATAAATCGAAATAAGAGATTTGGGTATATAGCCAAAGTTGGCGCAAATCCTCGAGGTGGCAATGGTAAGTAAATTGGTAATCTGTGGCGGTGTTTACAGAGGTGTGATAAAAGTACTGCTACAAGGTGTGATAGCAAATATATCCCGCCTCTCCTCCCTCTCTGGAGAAAAAGAAAAAGAAAAACAAAGCCAATAGGTTGGTCCTTCTGTTTAATAGAGCCCCCTTTCGAGAGAACTTGAGGTTCTGGATCTTTGCTAATATCCTGCATGTTTGTTTTGTATGTCAGTTTGGATGTGCACATGCACCTTACGGAAATTGTTAGCTCGTAATCACTGACGATATAGTTTGTAGATATATACGTATAATGAGCTATGCGGTCAAACGTTTATCACTATTTTAATGCATGCTCGATCAAAGCTTTGTATCCCTTGACAGCATTCTCTAGGTCTTTGACCTCGAGATGCTCGTGATCACTGTGAGCCATCATGATCGTCCCTGGGCCATAGAGATATTTCTTATGGTCTCCCTCCAGGTTAGGGATATCCGTGCCATAATTTACCACAATGGTATCAAAGCCTTGAGGTGTTAGTAGAGTTCAATTGGCGTGGAGAGAATAATCTTACCTGGTACATCACTGTCGATGTAAACTGGCCCATACCCTGAACTAAAAAACACATCCAACTCTTCATCCGCCTTTAGAAGAGTATCTAGTATAATCTTCTCGATAACAGCTGGCGTTCCGTCTGCAAGTCTAATCGCTATTTTAGCACCGGCATTCTCAGCAATGACATTGGCTGCGACGCCTCCTTCCATCGTTCCGATATTCAAGGTCGTGTTACCATACTTTTCACTGTATGGTAACTCGACGTTCAGCAAAAGATTCAGAGCGGGAACCAGCATGGCATTTGCGCTCTTCCCCAGCTCAGGGTATCCAGAATGGCCAGCTTTGCCCTTTGCCACGATCTCCAAACCCATAGTACCCTTATGCCCACTAGCTAGCTTCAATTCCGTCGGCTCACCAAATATGGCAGTCTCCCAACTCAAACCCAAATCATTTGCCTTTTTCATGCCATCTCCCCCGACTTCTTCTCCCACTACAAATAGTAGAGCCACATCCCCTTCCTCAAGCGTCCCCGCGGCCAAAAGCTCCTCTACTGCAATTATTTGCGAAGCAACGCTACCCTTCGCGTCAACGGTTCCTCGTCCCCAGATCTCATCTCCTCTTCTTTCGTATGGCCAAAACGGCGGCACGGTATCGATATGCGATGAGACTAACACTCTTGTCTTCCGCTGCTTGCCAATGTATGCAAATACATTCTCCCTAGGGTTCGTTGAGCCTTTCCAAGGACCGACGTCTTGGGATTCAACAGTGAAGTTTTGGTCTTTTAGGTAGGAAATGAGGTATTTTGCAACGTTGTGCTCGTTTCCTGTGATCGATTCGTGTTCTACAAGGCCTTTGTGGAGCTTTAAGAGTGGGGATGTCGATGTCGAGGAGATTGAGGGCTCATGAATAGGGTGTTGACCTTGAAATGCTTGGGCTTGATGAGCTAGTAGAAGCAATGATAGAGTTGGGAATCGCATTTCGAATGCTGGTTTACTCAATTGGCCCGCTGGGAACTTTGGGAGGTAGATGTATGAAATGTCAAGCAGTGGGATGGAGCTCACGATGTAGGGAAGCTACTAATGCGGAATAGCCTCCGTATGCCGAATCAGGAAAGTGGGGGGTATAAAAGTTATTATAAACGACACAACTCGTATTTCTTCGTGCAAACAATTTTACCTTGCTTCAGCATCAATATGTTTGCTAACTTTTAACCTTTGCTAAGTAGCAATTTCCATCAAATCCGTATAGTGCACGGTAATGGAGTCTCTCAAAAACAAATCATCGCATTCTTAATTTCTGTCCTCTTACCTTATGACTGTATTGGAGTCATACTTCCTTTGCCAAATCACACACAAGATGAACACTCCGAGGGGAGGCTTGTCTTTATATACAGTCCCAAATGGTATCTCTTGGACTCGAATAAGACGATGTGGGATTGGAGGTCTCCCAGCTGAGCTTTGGATTGACGTCCTGTCCCACATAAACCGGATTTCTGCTCTCAAACTGCTCTTAGAAGCTTTAAAGTATACACAGAATCAAGTGGCACGGCGAGTGTCATCGCTGTACTGCAAATATTTGTCTACTTTGTCCATGCTCAGTCTATGCCTTCTATCTAAGCTGTGCCAATAATGGCATCTTGCTACGCATTCTTCAAGATGCGTGGGTCGATGGACTACAGAAAGGGGCACCTAGAAGATTCAGGATCTCAAGAAGAGTGAACAAGTGTAATGAAAACCAGTCCAGCCAAGTCCAGCTTGACTGGGGCTCTATCCAATGCCACTTGATACTCTATGATCGACCTCTCGCTCGCGGGCTTTCTCTCACAGTTTTGAGGGGAGATTAAAAGTGAACTTCCTAGCTCCACTAGGTAGGTGACCTCCCGAGATGTTGAGCGTAATTTCAGCGGTTAGCCTTGGCGGGTCAGGAGGTGGCGCATACCACGGAGTCCAATGAGTAGCAAACTCCCCATCGTCGCCCTTCTTCCACTGGATTGTCATTTCCGTCAGCTGTGAGTTATGAGTTTCCTCGACAGCCCACTTGATGATCACAAAGTCAGTAATTGTCCATCATAAATACCAGAATGATGAAAATTACCTTGGCAGCCATTTGACCAGCAATATTGAGAATGGCATCTCTTATAGTCTTTCCTTCCCAGAGTTTAAACTGATGATCCGCCCCCACAAGCCTAATCCACCAAGACCTCGCCATCATCTTTTGCCGAATCTCCTTCAGATGTGTCTCTGGAGCCAAGGCATCGGAGTCGCCGATGATAAAGAGCACATCCGTATCAGCGCTCAAAGCCAGCAAGTCTGAATGACGGATATCTAGGTCTCGTACGAGAGGAAAGGTAACCAGAATCACTCGCTTAATCGTCGAAAAGACAGTTGCTCGAGCTGCATTCCTAGCACCAAGACTCCTCCCAGAATATGCCTTCACACTTGCAAAGCTATTTGCGAGCGAGCGAAATGTCTGGACTCGGAGAATCTCATCTCTATAATCCTGGAAGAGCAAGATGGGTGCAGTACGTGCGAAGCCAAGGCAGAAAGAACGCACGTGTGGGTCGTCGAGGGTGGTACTTTTGCCATGTGTGAATATGCAAAAGGGGTCCGGCCGAGTGTGATGATCTTCTGACGAGGCGTCTTCTTCTGATGAAGAGTCTTCGCCATGGTGGATGGCTGCCTGGTATGCTTGGTTTGCCACATCCCATTTCGCGCGGTCTTCGTGGTACGTCTTGAGAAGTGTGTCGTAATGAGTTTTGCTTCCTCTATATTGCTTCTCAAGAGTATGTCGGGCTAAGGCTTGCTCTGCGTTCAAATTCTCTGGAGATGTCTTTGGTAAAGCTTTGGGGGCAATTGGCTTGACAGGGGGAGAGCCGGGGTTAGGAGGACGGCGATCTGAGTGCGTTGAAGAGTAATATATCCTACAAGGGGCCTTGTAACCGGGTGATACTTGGATTTCAAAATCTTCTCGATCGACTGGATTCACCGGTTGCGAGCGCATGAGAGCGACCACCCCAGCATTTTCCATTTTGTACATAGGATGTCGGGCAAGACGTGCAACACTTTCGGGTGTAGGTATAGATCAATTTGATGAGAACCCCAGCGGTAAGGATAAAAGAGTGTAATATAGGTATGTTTTGTGATTGAAGAGATCGTGAGCGTGGAAGTGGAAGTGGATTTTGAAACAGAGTAATAGTAATATTGAATAGACTTGAGCGAGGAAGGAACCACACGAGCGACGACTCAGAGAATTGGGCAATGCTAGCTCAGTTTGCGATTCACACAAACCCAGCTACAATTCAATTTTGACGTTTGTTTTTGTGTTTGCTCTTCTCCGCTGAATCATACAAGAAAGGTCAAAGGCTCAACTATCCTACAGCCGCTTGCAGTATAACAAAGGCTTTCGAGGATAGATCAGATATGAGAAGTGAGACTACTCAACTATGGATAGATTAATATGTTTCCAGAGGATCTAAAGCCTCATCTAAGTCTATTATCTTTGGAATGTGACGAATGCAGGCGTTTGCCAATCTCCTGATGAACGCCTTTGACGAATGAATGCAATGCGCAAGAAGTAAACACAGAATGACTCTCCCTTCTGGGGATATGGTGATGAAAACGCAAGCATATCATGAGAAACAGTAGTGCAAATATTAAAAGTAGAGAAAGAGAATTGTAAACGACAATTGTATGAGGAAAATACAACTTTCATTGAAGCGGAAGATGTTTGTAGTGCAGATCTTACAAAAGAAGCTTACTGCCATACGGTAGAAACGGCAAGACTAGGGTCACGATGCCTTCACATGACTGAATAACTGTGTTGACCATTCAAAGACAAAGCAGAGCTAGCTCAGACATTTCTAGGTAACCATTCTCCAAGATCTTTGCCTCTACACAATAATATAAGATACGGCATTCTCCTCCATCTAACAAGCCTCCTTACCACGACGAAACTAAATAAGCAAGTAAGTCAGTCAAGTTAATATCCCAACTAAAGAACCATTTACTTACGCTCCTTTCCCAAAGTCCCCATCCACGCAACCCAATCCACCATGTCTTCATCAACCACCCCCACCTCAGCCCCACCAAAAACCCCAAAGCCAAAAATATACCTCGCCGGCCCCGACGTCTTCTACCCCAACGCCGTTGCCCGCGGCCTTGAACTCAAGGCCCTCTGCACGCTGCATGGGGCCATCGGCCTGTTTCCCCTCGACAACGAGATCTCGTCCGTTGAGCTGGGGAGCCATGCCATGGCGGACGCGATCCGGACTGCGAATATGAAGCTTATTGCGTCTGCTGATGGGATACTGGCGAATGTAAGGAAGCAATCACGTTCCCCCTATCTACTGCTACTTATTTCTACCTTTATATATCTATCTATCCAAGGTCTTGAAGCCAGATAGACATAATTGCTTCTATTCTAATTGCTATTTTCTTCATCTATTCCATCGATCCATCTACCCATCCATTTATTTCACTCAAATAGATCACGCCCGAGCTGGAACATACAAAACAAAACACTAATTCCCCAAGCCAGATGACGCCCTTCCGCGGCCCATCCATGGACGTCGGCACCGCCTACGAAATGGGTGCCGGCGCAGCATTAGGCAAGCATATATTAGGCTATCTAAGGGGTGAAAAGCTCGGTTACACCAAGAAAGTACAAGCCGTGCATAAGGTAGAGAGACATACCGATGGGCATTTGCGAGACGAGCAAGGGTGGTCTGTAGAGGAGTTCTTGGAGGTGGATGGGCAGGATGGACTGGTGGATAATTTGATGATTGCGTGCGGGGTGGAGAAGCTGTGTATGTCAGAGGAAGAGGGGATTAAGGCTTTGGTTGATATTTGGAGGAGGAAGCAGGAGAGGGGGCAGTGATATGTATGTGGGATTTATTGAAGCTAATTAGTTATGATAATTACAAAGTATTGCAAAGAAAATGGATGAATGCTCTGGAGCTCGGGAGGAAAGGCTCTCAAGTATTATGTGTAATTTATTCTTCATTTCTGTAATACTAGCTCATATCACGGCATATCACACCATTTACCCCTATGTTACATCCACTACATCCATAGCAGATTACCTAGGATCCTGTCTTCTAATCCTCATCCTCTGATCCCTACCACATACCAGAATCTCAAACCCCAACTTTGCTCGCTATAAACAGCCCACAGATTGTCCCAATCCCCTTTCGAAAAACAAATGTATGCATGCGTCGAGTAGATGGAAAAACACAAAATATATGCAGTGAAACAAATTACTGGATTTCCATGTCCGAACGCCTAGCCAAGCGCAAAACAGAGCTGAAAAAACAAATAGGCAATGAAATAGCCTCAAAGGTCCTCCGTTACGATCTGCTCTTGAAAAAATAGGATTGCCGTGACTCTAGTGCTGGATCGTAGAGGAAATGTGATACAACGTATACTGGTGAGATGTTCTATTGTAAGATCGTATCGCACTTTGGACACGGGATGCTTTCCTCCCATTCCCTCGACTTCTGACCAGATCTTAAATCCTTAATGAGAATCGTTGGAGGATTATCTCCCTGATCCTTGATCTTGGCTGAAAATTTACCATCGAATGGTTTGCTCTTGCTTAGTTTCCCTCCCTTGCCGTTTGGTTTTGCGATGCCGTTGATCTCGGGTTCGGTGCCCACGAGCTTCGTGTATGTCTTCCTGAGGATGTCATTTATGAGACATGTTTTGTGTAGCCAGATTTTGCAGGAGGGGTTGTCGCAAATGAACATGGAAACTTCGGGGTTAAAGTGGCCTTTACAAACGCAATGTTCTCGGAGTTTCTGTAGGATTATTAGTATACTTTGAAGAGATTAGGAGAATGAGGCATTTACAGAAAGTTCTTGTGTTTCGCGACAGAATGTTTGGCGCCAGTACAACTTCGATTGTATATTGTCGTCCTCTTCCCCCCATTCAACCACCTCTGCCTTGCCTGCGAAAGAAAGCACATCCAGAACCTCCATATAATTCGACGCAATCAACTCGTGCTTGCCATGATATGTCCGCTTCCCCCCTAACGCCGATACTTGATCTGGAGCTCTCACTCTTGGAGGAGGCAATTCGTCTGCCCAGTACATCCACGCAACCTACTCTGTCAATAAGCTGCCCTTATAAAGTGATTGAGAAGCGCCATACCAGTGCATATACATGCTGTGCGTTTTGCGCCCTAACTTGCAATATCCTAGCCACCCAAAATACCTTCAGATTCTCCTCGTCAATCTCCTTTGGCGTCTCGTCACTCCGTACATAGACGAAGTGATTATTTTTATAAGTATCTCCTTGAACTATGGCTCCCCGTTAGCATTTGCTCCAGCCAAGCCAAACCTAGCCAGAAGCAAGCACTCACTTATGAAATTATTATACTTCTTCATCTCGCCCCATTCAGTACTCGGCGTAACCGTATAGTGCTGATCCAGCTCTCCTTCCTTCGCCCTGCCCTTAGCAACAAAAGGCGAGATCTGGAACTCGGCATTGTCAACCAGCTCCTGCTCTTTCTTCGAGAGCTTCTTCTTCGTGCTCACGTTCGGGTAATGTACCACAAAAGGGACCTTGGCGCCGATTTGTTCGGCAGGCGTCGCACTCCGCGATGCTGGATTCGAGGAGGTCTTTGCGCGCTTGTGATTGTCTTCGGGTGGTTGCAGAGAGTTGAGGCCATGTTTGGGTGCCATGGCGCCTTTCCGGGGACAACCAAGTGTGAGGGTTCGTAGCAAAATTGAAGAGAACGCGCGCGTTAGCTCGGAGAAGCTGGGGTATAGGGAAAGCTATCAACTTGAGGAGAAGACACCTGAGCCTCTTTTCTGTGGAGGAATTGTGAATGAGCAGAGGCGGAGTGCCCGTGGAGGCGGTCGCAAAGTTGGGAGTGAAGGAGGCGGGGGGGGGGGGTTCACGCAACAAAACACAAGCAGCGCTCGTCGAAATCAGATTGTCGTGATGGGGGAAAGCGCCAAAGAGGGAGTGAATATTGTTGCACCTGTCGAATGGAATCAAAGGGCGAGAATTGAGGTGTGCTTTCGCCAGAGAACGATTATTTGTGACGCGCCGTGATCGATCAACCCCTTCTCTTCCTCTTTCCGTACGTCGGTACGCGCGCGAGAGGCACCGCGCGCTAGTTGTACACCATGCTTGCCAAAAAGTCTGGGAATGGCTTTATAGAAAGTTTAAAGTTTTTACACCTTTCAAGAAGCCATCGAGTTCAGAAATTACTCAAGAGTCGACGCGATCTGTCGGATCGAATTGCCATAATGTGATTGTTTATCTTGCTTCCCGTTCACACCACCCGTAGGCTTCTGGTCCAGGAACGTGAATGTAGAAGGTTTCTTACTTGGACAAATGATCATTTTTAAATACCGGGTATATTGTTGGTTATTATCCCCACTCTCTATAGCTCAGGAGATCGCAGAATGTGAAGTTAAAGACTTCGCATAAAAGCGTGGTATCAAATCCATCCAAGCTCTCCTTAGTCCATTATCCACTCTCCTCCCCAAACATTGCTTTCCATTACCACTCCTCTCTAACCAATGTATCCACCTAAGTCGTGGTTTCCTCCTTCTTCGCAACCTTCTTCTTGAACAGCTTGTTCTTCAGCTTATCCGCCAATCCCTCCGGGTGCTTCTGTGTAATTGGCGCAGCAGTGTGCACGTTTCCCTCGCCTCCTCTGCCGACGTGGAAGTTCTCGTTCTCCGAGCTCGGTCGCAGCGCTATCTCTGGCACAACGATGTCGTCTTTTCGTGCCGTGGCTTTGAGACCTGGGGAGCCGATGTTGGCTGCTCCTCCTCGGCCGCTGCTGAAGGCTCCATCGCCGTGATCACCGACTGCGCCTTCGCGAACGATTTCTCCGTCGCCGTAGCTGGGCTATTGTTAGATCTGTATCTGGAAGGGCGATAGTAGGGGAAGCATACGGAGTGCTATCTTGACCAATGTTTCCGGCGCCTACGAAATCATATGTCAGAGACGATGGATAAAAAGTAGGTGGAGAAGGAGCATACATACCTCCACGGCCATGGCTCACCTCGGTGCTATTTCTGGCACTTCCGCTTGCGCTCATGATTGCAGCTTTGAGATGAATGGGATGAGGAGATTTGATTGTTTGAGGATCTTTTGTATGCAAGAGAAATGTTAGAATGAAAAGACTAGAAAATGTTTACAAGACGGAATGATAGGTATGCACAGTGGAGGGGTCATGGGAGCTGAAAGAGGCTTCCTTGGCAGCCTCGCTATTGCCCCTTTTGGTCCCGCAATCGATCGGTACGGAGTATGCAACTGATGACGGGACACGTCTATTTTTCCCATACAAGATTGGGGGGGTGTGATTGGCAGTATGGGCGTACCTTGTGTTTTTCCGGGAAGGCTGGCAATATGGGGGTGACAATTGGATGTGTGTCAAAGAGCAAGAAGTGGATGGATGAATAATACTTGTACCTGACATGTCCCTCGGAGAAGAAACCAATCTGAATAAGATCTCAATTAATAGTAAATTATGACGCAATAATATATGAGGTGATGTATATACTGTAAACCTCAGGTATACACTTAAATCCATCCTTTTTAAACAGCGGGATATCTGCAATGCCATGCCATGCCATGCACACCATCCATTATTATGTCATGTCATTGCAAGAGATAAGAGAAGTCGTTATCTTGTCAACCCCTCGCCTATCATTGCCTCTTACCCGCGACTAACTGCTGTAGATCAAGTCGTGCCCAGGTACAAAGGAAAGTTTTATAGTACTTTTGCAGGGGCCCCAAGTTTTGTTGCAAGTCGCAGTCAGTTTTTGTAGCGTAATGCTTTGCAAAAGGTTGAGGAACAAGTATTTATATGGTAATAGCAATAGTAATGCTAACATATATTCAACCAAGTGCTTAGCCAATGACAGTAGCAGTGGGGTCTGAAAGTGTCCGTTGCAGAAATACTGTACCTTACAGGCGGCGTGCTACTAGGTATTTCAAGGCTTCTAGAAGGCTACTAGTGTTTCGTCAAGTACTCTTTGAGGACTTGCAGTAGAAATAGGGGTGATTGTCGAGGTGAAGCACGTGATACATGTAGTAAGGAGGTCTTGGCTCCTATAGTGATTTAAGGCCATCTGCACAAAAAAGACCACCCATTATAAGCCCTTGAGCTTGCTGGACACAGAAGGCGCCACTTATTCTTATTGACTTTTAATGTCCGCTACATGGCACATGATGGATTGGTGCCGGCTTTCCTGTCCACCGTGAAGCTTCTTCGTTTTTTGGAGGTGGCCGTAAGACACTATAGGAATTAGTTGGTGCAAATTAACCTGAGAGAAAGTCTTTATTTCCAATTTCAGTTGTTTTATAAGGTACCTAGCTAGTCAATATACTCATTGTCATGTTATAGATTCAGGAGATTGAGGCGCTAGGGGCTCGCTTATGTACATAGTCCGTGCCTTTAAGGTTATGTTATTCCCATCCCATCTTACTGTTCCTATACTCTGAGCTTTCCTCTTTGTAGTTGTCTTGGCCAATAAAACCCTTATATTGATGCTCTGACAAATTGTGACACTCATCACTTACATCCAGTCCCACGTTTACTTCTTCTCTGGAGGCGCCGCTCCACCAGTAGTTGGGAATCCCATGACAATCTTGAAGTAATCCTGAAGTTTGTCAGTATAAAACCTCATAACCAGGACATTTATGCTCACGTATGTCATCCATTGAAGTCCAGTCAATGTACCTATTATAATTGTGAGCATTCCCAAAAAGAAGACAAGGACAGCGTAGAAGGGCAGGATTCGGTACCTATCATTATTATGCGCACCGGGAGACCGTTCCAGAGTCCAGCAAAGCCTATGTCCTTGTAGATACGTCCTATAGCAGCACCGAAAGCTTCCCCGGATTGACGGTTTGCGTTCAGTTTGGAGACCTATCATTCATGAGATCTAGTTGAATCACGCTTCACAAGATGGAACTTACCATAACATCAGCAGGATGACTGACGATAGCACAGAGAATACCGGCAAGATAACCACCAGTGAAAGAGACAGCCGTTTGAGTACCCTTGCCATAATCAGACTTCTGGCCAGGCATACGCGCATAGATCATCTCGACAATAGTCTCGAAAGAAGCGAATTTCATCATCGTGTAAGGTATTTGACGCCCCCAAAGAGGGTACAATCCCTTGTAGAGGCCCGCGAAACCTTCCTTGCTAGTTACTTGGCTAAGACCGTCGAAAGTACCTTTAGCGAATGGTGGAATCGTGGTCTGCATTCGAACCTTTACGGACTCAAAGGGGCAGAGAGCAATATCGGCAATGAATTCAGCAGAAGCACTTGCGGTAAGGTAAAGAGCAGTTTTGTACTTGGCGGCTTTCTCGGGCCCAGCAAGATCGGCGTAGAACTTCTTGAAGTACTCGTATCCTCCATACTTGAAAGCTCCTTGAGCGCTATATCCGAAGAAAGTTGGGCCCCAGCCAGTGAAGATACCACGGAGTCCTTCAGCACGACCAATCTTACCCCAGGCTTGGAAGTTACCAGTGTACATCTTGGAGTCGACTTGACGACGACATTTGACCAGATCTAGAGGTGTGACGGCACTATGCGTAAGACCCTGGTCGACGTTAGATCACTCTCCTTTATGGCATTGAGTTTGAGTTGGCGCCGAAATGGTTTATCACTTACACAAGCAAGCAGACCCCCAAAAGAGCAAGCTGCATAATACTGGGCCGAGTAAAGTTCAATTGTTCCAGTCTTGGCTCGAGCCGCAGCGCTTGCTTTCTCGAGTTCTTTTGTAGCTTCCGCGCTTAAAGCATTGACATTGTTGTTCGCATCATCGGCAGCCGACCATATAGTGTAGAACTCGGTGCGGGCTTGGAGAGGGGTCCGTTTTGGAGTCACAGGGTTTGATTGGGGAATAGCTGGGCGACGACCGAAGGGAACGGCAGGTTGGAATGCATCGTGGAGGGTATCTTGGGAGGGGAAGAGACGAGTCATTTTAGAAGATCTGATAGTGACAATTGTTAGTTCACTGGGCTGGAAGAAGAGTTAAGAATAGATTGAAAATGGATTTGAAGTCCAAGAGCAGCTTGCGGAGGTCAGTTCCACTTTCAATCTCAAGATCGATGTATAAAGGGAATCCTGTGGCCTTATCTCCGGGCCGCACCAGTGTTCGTTCGTACTGGAGCAAAGGACAATCCAGGTCACAAGGTTTATATAAACAATCGTTGGGAAGCGTACAGTACGGTGAGAATGGGCGCAGATTCAATAAACACAATCAACGCAGAGAACTTCACTTGACAATATTAAATAAATACGTACTAAGTACCTACGCCCGTAGGTACTTATGGAGGAATGGAATTCTAAGATGATACGCGGCATGGGACCAAGGACCTCTCCTCTTACTCCGTAAAGCCGGGCTTAAAGCCAGCCCAGCCCAGCCCCGCTACGTCAGAAGCGAGAGGCCGCTAGCGAACTTCTTCCTCATTTGGCTTAACCTCTTATTAGGAATTAGATAACTACCTAGGTATCTACTGTACCTATCCAGCCAGGTAAAGGTAAATGTACCTTATAATTTGACGCTCAAGTCTATAAATAAACTCTAAATTAATAATACGTGGAATTGTCACAATAAAGCCAGGTTTATCTTTAGACGTGGCTCCACCAATCAAATCGTATCATAGTCATAAGGCGTCAGAAATCTCAACCTCAAAATACCCCTCCTCCGAGGTTTGTGAACGATAACAAAAAACTGGAAACCTCTCAATAATGGCCACAACAATGTCGAATACCATCCCCGTCGGTACCAATGACCCAGCCAGCAAAATGGCAGAGATAGCTTCTCCTCCGAATCCCTCTCTTCTCTCACAACTCGCTGCGCGGTATAGAGGAGTATGACCCATTGCCTCCCTCACCTTTCAAGCTTCGCAACTAACAACCTTGACAGGCAACGGTAGAAGACCTCGATCCGCCCTCAGCCCTCTCCTGCCACCCCTCAGACCCCATCTCCCACGCCCTCCTCACGGCCTTCGAACGAGACTACACCCACCTGACCGTCATATCACCCACCAACCGCGCCCTCCTAGGCTACCTCTCTATCCCCAACCTACGCTCCATACTGGCTTCCGGCACGGTGCAAGAGACAGACGAAGTAAGCAAGGCGATGATCAAGTTCAGGAGAAAAGGGAAAGTGTATAAGGTTATTACGATGGAGACGCCGCTGGAGGAGCTGGAGATGTTTTTTAATGGGGGTGTGGAGGGTGGCGAGAGGCAAGAGTTTGCGGTTGTGACGGATGATAGGAGGAGGTTTGTGTTAGGTGTTGCCACGAGGACGGACCTTGAGGAGTTTGCGAGACGGAGACCGGCTTGAGGGGAAGATATCGGGAAAATGTATAGCATGACATTGGAGTTTGAGGTATAAATATGATGCATTTCCGGAGGACCCACGGTAGCATGAACGTTGGATTCAAGGTCAACGAATTACAGATACTTTCAAATTGCTAGTAGATGGCCTCGGGCATACTTTGAGACAAGTGCTCTCGAGCAAATAGGAGACCAGGACGGTGCAGGCAAATATGCTCTGAATAAACAAGTGCAAGTGCTGTACATGCATGGTAGACTTCGGGGTTCTTATTTGGGTAAGTAGGTAGAGCAAAACCTGCATTGTTGAGAGGAAGAACGAGGAATAATGGTATCGAGTTTCTCCTTAACCTGATTAGTTTCTAAATAGACCTCCTGAGAAGGCTTCAATTACCAAGTGGCTTTTGTCCTTCACTATTCGGCGGAAAGTACGGACGCCACTTTGCTTCAAATTGGACACGGAGAGGGAAGTAGTGGAGATACCTAGCGTTAATTTGTTGCGTAAGAAGTGCTTGTATCATCCTTCTGGAGAGGTGAGGTCCACCGGACTGTATACAAATAGCGGCACTAGGGAAAGAATAGCAAGTGCTGTGCTAATGAGTTACTGCATCAAGGCTTCTCTATATATGTACCTGCACTTCTTTTACAGACGTATATGTATAACAAATAATTCATGTAAGGAAATCAATGGTGCCTCGGGGATGATGTTGTTGAGAGGTCATGCTTTCGTGGGTGTGATCTGGTACATCCCCTCCCTTACAAGTGATTCCACGTTTTTCTCAAGTTCCATTTCATGCTGTCAAGATAGTAATGCCGAGCAAATGAACGAATGTGACAAATAACAGCAAGCTAATCTTTGACCCCAAGTCCATGTCTCCTCGTTTTGTTCCTTGGCTATTGCAGCGCCAGATCTCAACTATATTGAGTATTTGGATCGTGTAAGTCGTTTGAGAGTGTTGTAAACAAGACAAAGGCAGCTCCACCATGTTGTCGAATTTAAAGTGAATCCTTTGATCTTGAAGTTATTCTCGGTCTGGAAAGTTTTGAATGTTTTATAAGATGTGTGTTTCTTGTATGGAATTTTCAAAATCCAGTCTAGTCTAGTCCATATTGCGAATGTCTGATGTGATGATCACCTTACGAGTAGAAGCTCTCATATCTAAAGGTAGCCACCAAAGCTAGTTCATACATGAATAAGTAAACAAACATATCTACATACCGAACCTCCCTCAGCAAAACCAATAGAAGTAAGCAACTATCTATCCTTATGATACTGCATCAACTCAAAGACAGACCCCAAGCAATGGCCCAAGCGGTAAGAGGTTAAATCAACGGTTCAATCAATCAGTCAATCGCCACGACAGCTTAAAAAACATCTATTTATGCCAAGACAGATAGAAGAACTCCTCTGCCATCTGCGGCTCAACTGTCTCCCGCAGTTCAAAGAGAATAGCTATCCTCTAGCTGTGTATGAACAAGAATTCCTGCACTAAGAAAGGACATACTGCACACCCCACTGAAGAGCCTCTGCCTAAGGGAAGTGAAAACAGAGCTATACGTACGTACAAGTATAAAGGGAAATGTACCGACCGGATAGTTCTAATGTATTTATTTATCTAATCTATGCACAATAAGGCCTTTTATCTGTCTAAGACATGACGTCTAGCCATACCATATCAACCAATCAATGCCTTGCTGGCATAATATCATACCATGCAGCCTCAAACGCACCAGGTGAAATAACCTGACCTATCGTAATCAACCCACTCGTCTTTTCTCGTAGCCATACCATCCATCCATTATTTCATCAACACCACCACCGTCAATACCCGATCGTTTTTTCTCACACAAGCATATCCTCACCCTCATCACCCTTAACCAACGAATCAAGCAACGAGCTTTTCTTCCGCTTCGGCAGATCAGTCTCCTTGCCCTTCCCATTCGCCACAACCCCGGCCTTCTTCTCGCCCTCACCCTGCACCTCTTTCTCCTCATCTTCTTCGGCAGCAGTAGTCCCCTCCAGCAGCATCTTCGCAACAGCCTTCTCCCCAGCATCAGTCATAGCATCCCCATCGTCCCCGCCGGCAACCCTTCCATCAAGCATGAGCTTACTCTTCCCCAAAGCATAGATCTGCTCCTCAATCGTGCCTTTTGTAACGAGTCTCACGACCTCCACATCGCGCGTCTGTCCAACTCTATGGGCGCGATTCTCGGCTTGACGATCATCTTGTGGGTTGAAGCTGCCGTCGAAAATGATGACTTTGTTGGCGTACATTAGGTTAATACCCGTTCCACCGGCTTTGGTCGTAAGTAAGAAGGCGGTAATTCCTTCGTCGTCACGGAATTGATCGATAAGAGATTGGCGTTCATCGATCTTCGTGGAGCCATCAATGCGGGTGTAGGAGATGAGAGAAGTGTTAAGCACCGATTGCAGGATATCGAGAACGAGCGCAAATTGCGAGAAGATCAAGACGCGGTCCCCATTCTCTTTATAAGCTTTCACGAGCTTGACGAGCGCCTCGACTTTTCCCGAGTTCATCCAAGCTAGGTCGGCAACGTCGAAGGAGCGAATGCATGGGTAACTGAGGCACCACCCGTGGAGCCAGTAATCGGAACCAAGTTGCATTTCCTGTATAAGATGCTCCCGTTTGTGGTTCTTATCTGTTGGAAAATTGGTAGGGTCTTTCTTGCGAAGAATATTACACATCTTCTCAATCTTCTCATCGGTAAAGTGACGACGGAAGAGCATTGGGTGGATGGCTGCCTTTCGGAGTTGCATCAAAGGGTTGTTTTCATCACCCTTGGGTATCTTTTTACCTTCGAGGCGTACTTGGGCCCTCTCACGGGCTTTTCCCACGAGGCCATCATATACCTCTTTCTGAGCAGGATGAAGGGTACAGTACTCCATGCGATTGGTTTTGGTGGGGAGGTGCTTTAGGACTTGCTCCTTCTTCCGGCGAAGAACGAATGGCGTTAGCATAGTCTTAGCCCTGCCAATTCGCTGGGCGGACAGTAGTGCTGCATGGTCGGCGTCTCGTGTGGTAGCCTTGGCCTTGAATATATACTGCAAGTCCTCCTGACGCTCTTCAAAGACGCTTGGCATGATGAACGCAAGGAGTGCGGCCAATTCCTGCAGGTTGTTTTGTAGTGGTGTTCCGGTGAGTAGGAGTTTAAACTCTGCGGGAATTCGGACCAGGCCTTGATATCGCTGAGAATTGGGATTCTTTAGATAGTGACCTTCGTCGTAAACACAGACCTGGATTAATTAGCCCCCATAGTCCAAAACAACCACAAGATAAGCTTACATCAGGTTTTAATCTTCTCAAGAACTTGTTGTCCTCTTTCTTGGCAGCCATATCATAGGTAGTGACCACAATGTTGATCGTGTCTCGGTTGTTAAGAATCGCGTCAGCCATTTCACCGCGTTCCTTCTGAAGACCTATACAATCATTAGTGTCATATGCATTTAGGAAACTCGTGATCCATACCGTGATAAGGCTCGACATTCAATTGCGGGGCAAAGTTCTGACACTCTCGCAGCCAGTTCTCCAAAGTCGATCCAGGACAAACAACCAAGTGAGGCCCATTATGGCCAATCTCAACAAGATGGCTTATGAAAGCAATAACCTGGCAAGTTTTTCCGAGACCCATTTCGTCTGCCAGGATACAACTCAGGCGTTTCCTGTACATCAAATCTAACCAGTTCAGTCCAACAACCTGGTAGTCTTTGAGTATACAACTCTCAGCCATTAAATCCGGCTTCTTCAAGAAGTTCACATTGCCTCTCTTTCTCTTCGTCGCTACGATTCGGATATCGTCATCGTTATTATTCTTAGGAGAAGCGTTACCACTGCTTGGAGACCCAATCCCCGAATCCCGCAGAGACTCAGCATCATCGTCAAGAGAAGTCATCTCCAGCTCCCCACCCTTCGAAGCACCAAAGACATCAAATCCCCACTTCATCATCTCCTCCGCAGGTGCTTTTCCAAGCTCCTCACACTTAGCGCAAAGATCATCTATAGCTTCATACCCCTGGAACATATCCAGAGCAGTATCGACAATCCTATCTCCAATGGGAGCTTTCTTACTCTTCTTGCCGCTCTTGAGAGTCTTTGTATTTTCCACAGTTCTAGCGGAATCCAAGCTCTTGAAAGGACGAGCGCTGATCATCACTTCAGCCAGTTCCTTGGTCGTGGCGGTAAGCTCTACAAGTTCTTCAACCTTGCAGATATTCAAGTACTTCAAGACTCGGCCTTCGAGCATAGGATCGTCCTCTGGAGCCGAAGCAACTCCAGAGTCATCGGAATCAAAATCATCATGCGCGGAGGCTATAGGTGACGCGGGTTTTAGCGGCGAGGAGGCAATTGGGATTCCCGGAGAAGATGGGTTTCGTCGGCCTTGCATAAGCTTTCTCTTTGGCTTTACTGGCTGAGTCGAAACCTGTGACTGCGATTGCTTTCTAGGAAGAGCCTGCGTCGACGAATACTTGTCTCTGATCGAAACAGTTGGTGCATTGAGGCCTCGCTTCATCTGGGGCTCATCTTTCGCTGGCAGAACAGCGAGCTCGCCATCAGAAATAGAAACGATATCTCCCGGCGCATCATCATCGCCACCAAGAAGTAATATTGCCTCATCTAGGTTCCCATTACAGACTATCAAGGCATTTTTGGCACCCAATATAGTAATATGGGGAAGAACTCTCCTAATTCTACTGACATTTTCTCGAAGACCAGGGTCAGAAAAAGAATCTGGAGCGATGTCTTCAATTGGCTTTGCTCGATCAGGCCTCGTCTGTTTCATACCAGCATGCATCGAGGGCTTATATGCTGCATTTCTGACAGCTTCCTGGAATTTCGTATTGCCATTAATTCCAGAAAACGAGGTCTGAGCGGTCCTTGGTCCAAAATTCGAAGGCTGTATATTAGCTTTATTTATTCCATTATCGGAATCGGAATCCTCGCCATCGTCCGTGAGATCTACCACGCTCTTGATAGGGGATGCCTTCGGGCCAATACCATGAGGAGGTCTGTATGCGGTACCCGCAGGTGCTATACTCGTAGCCAAGTTCCTCTGATAGGCATGAAGCCCATTCGATTCGGGCTGCATGTGCTGTCTTTGATGAGAGGTTTGGAAGGCGGCGGTGGGGTTCCCTGTAGGCATTGCAACACGGGGATTTTGATGCATTCCCATAAACGGGACTGCCGCTCCATTTCGCATGGAAGGGGACTGGGCGTAGGGCGAGGAGGCAGGAACCTGAACAGTCCTGTGGGGCGTCAAGGGTGGGCTCGAAGCTGGGTTTGAAGGTCGATCTAGAAGCTGGGTAGGTTGAGTCTCGTAGTTATTTAATTGAGGCAAGAGTATTTGTGTGGGCTGAGTCTCGTAGCCATTCGTATTCGGAGGAGGTAGTATCTGCGTTGGTTGAGTCTGATGCCCATTCCTATTCCCACCAGCCTTCGGTGTATCGGGTATGAAGTTTTCAAACAGAGCATCTCCATCATCTTCGTCAGAGTTGTAGCCATTCGCAGCAGGGGAGTTGTTTGAGTTGTAGCCAGAAGCGGTCTTCTGCCTCTTCACAGCAGGTGAATCTGGAAGGAGCATAGGGCTCTCTGCGCCGCCAAGATTAAAAGCCATGTTTGTTTGCTTGTTGAGAAGGTGATTGTCGAGATAGTCGTGCTCGTGCAAGTACAAGGTGTCGCAGAGCTTGTGGGCAATTTTCCTGGCTTGAGAAAAGGCGTGCGGTGAAAAGTGAATTTGTGTTGTAGTCGAGAAGGCAATCTACCCTCACTTTCCTGACAAAAAGTCCCGCCCCAGACAGAAGTCGCGGAGAACCCAAAGCGAAGTCCAATGTTGAGCAAAGAGATCTGAATTTCCAAAGCGAGCGTGGTGGTGTTGTATGCCAGGTCCTGTGCTGAAGACTTAAAGGGTTGCGGAGAGTTGAAAGAGAGCAATGTCATAAAATCCGATTCACCAAAAAACGCGCTGCCCAAAACTGCGGGGAGTCAGGCGCGAAGTCACCCTTTAAATTGCCAAACCCATCATCTTGCCAACCTCTACAAATTCCTCACACCTGCACAAACCATGGCCTCGAGACGGATAGTGTCATCCGAGAAGAGCATCTTAGAGAAGGGTGACATTGATTTCAAGCCAAAGGATGGCGAGAAGAGCGATATTGGTCCGGCTGTCCCAGCGTACGTTTTCTTTTACATGTCTTGATGGAAAGTCACATGAGGATGTCTTCTAATATATGTATGTATAGGCATGTGATATATAAGCTCTTGGGCTTCACGGCGGCGATGGTAGTTGGCCCTATTGGCAGCTATTTTATCACTTTAAACCTCGTTTTTGGAGGTTCGTTCTACGCTCGCTCTGTGTTTGCAAGGCTCGGGCATGTCAAAAGCTAATTCCATGCAAAGGCAACTCGACCTATGCCGGTGCTCTTGCTGCGATTATGGCAAATGTGGTCTTGATAGGCTATGTGATTGTGGCTTTCAGGGAGGACCAGAGTGAGGCTATTGAGGCTGCGGAGAAGGAGAGAAAGGGGAAGTGACGGCTACGGTTCTTCTATTATGTCACGATATGGCGAGGAATGCAAGGCGTCATGGCATACTCGGGAATAGGGAATTTGGGCTGTACATCAAACGAAGAAAAGGCGTACTTGTATGCTCTGTCATTCATGGTAACAAAAGGGCATCCGCCCTTATCTCCATTCTGAAGGTTTGCGTGCAATATACAAGCAATTACAATGTCTCTACCATAAATGTCACGCTTTGCTGTCCACCAGAAGTCTGGTCTGGTTGAATAGCGCTCGCTGGGGTTCTCTTGATCCTGCAATAATGAGAAGACCATACGCCGTCAATGTAGACATCCAAATCCTGTAGCCTGTCCCACCATTAGTCCCAGTGAGGGAAACCCATGAAAGTCATTACAAGCACATCCAAGAACGCCATGCACGACTGCTCACCCCATCATTAACACTCTATCCGACTGTTGTTGACTTTCTTATTTCCCAAATTTCCTTCCAAACCACGATTTGCGCTTCTCGTTTGCAGCTGCGGGTATCTCAGCTGGTTGTGGTGTAGCATTTCCATTTGATTCACCAAGTTTTATTGGTGCTCTTGGTGCGATACCTTCTTTACTAGGTGGAGGCGGCCCTTGGTGCTGATATCCATTCCCTTGTCGAGCAGCACCAGTTGGACCTTGCCGCTGGTCTAAACCGGACCCAGGAGATGCATATTGCGGTGTGTTTCCAAATCCATTAAATCCATAAGTCTCAACATCTTTGTGTGGAAGAGGCGCAACTCGATCCATCGAGCTATTCTCGCTGCTCGGATCGGTCATGTATCCTGCCGGGTCTGCTGAGCTACCACCACTTCCTGAAGCTGTGGTCACTGTCTCGTACGATGGCTGATTTCCAGGCGCGGGATAAACTCCTCCCTGGCCATTATTAAAATGGGGCTCGGAAGCTGTTCTAGGGTATCGAGCCCTGTTAGGATGGTATCCATTGCTTGGTCCTGTCGCATTGTCCCCACCATTGTAATGACTTTCTGATCTAGCCACCCCATTGTGCCTATCGTTATAGGTACTTTCGGGCCTGTAAGACTGTGAACGTCCATAGTAACTGTTCTGAGGATATTGAGGTCTTTCGTTCTGGGTTACTTGGGTACCTGTGAGGTGCTTTCGTTAGCGCCATGCCGTTGAAAAGACTCTGATAAGTGAAATCCCACGATCCCTTCACTTGCAAGCGGCAGATCGCCACTCGGCGAAACTAATAGACATTAGCTTCACCACTAGCTTAAGCCCAGGTTCAGCTGTCCTTGATTTTGCAAATTCCTAATTTTGCCAGCATCTCATCGACTTTCTTTCATTGGCACGGAATGTGACAACCTCAAATTCGATAGTCGCAGCCCCATGCCTGCGACATTTGGAACCATACGAACTGAATCAGAGAGAAATAGTTCGACCTACCTCCATAGTAACTGCTCCGACGATTGTACACTGAGGCTGTATCCGCAGAATCTGCAAAGCATGCTGTTAGCATTGTGTGCCATCGAAACTATAACCTTCAACGGCAGCTCATGGAAGTCTCACCCGTCTGAATGTCTGATTTTCGCGAGTAGTTGCCATCTATGGCTGCCTCAAAGGCGCGGATAGTATCAAGAGGTCTCTCCCACCGACTGCGTGTAGGATTCGATCGATCAGGATCGGCTTATTAGGAATAGTATCAGCATTACATTCGAATTTCAAGTAGAAGATGGACGAACCGATGGGATTGCCTTGTGCATCTCGGTGTTGAATGGATCGAATAGGTAGCAATGAAGTTTGTACACTATTTGCAACCGCAGCTAAGAAACACGTTTCATCAGTTGTCGTTCAAAAAAAGTGCGCGCGGAGCGGGTGCTCCAAGGGAGGGTGTAACTCACATGGCTCGGCTTCTGCGAGTGCCATAGATGGATCAGCTTTTGAATGGATTCTCTTAGAATCTTTCTCTTGGTGTGTTTCGTGCAAATCGATCTTATTGTTACTCCCGCTGCTCTTATGTGAATGGAAACTGAAGCTTGACTTTGCTCGCTCTCGTCCAGGTTTCTGCTGTCCTGGCGAAGTCGGTAGAGGGTGATTGGAAGCCATCTTATGTCAAATTAGGATTAGGATCGATCAGGGATTTCAATAGCTTGATCCTTTCTGTCGAAATGACGATGCTTATCGTTGTGAAACGCCGTGTGGAGGACGCTGGGTTGGCGATAAGTTGATAGCAGTCGTAAAGTGGAGCTGTTGTGGGACGTTTGAAATTCCGATGGCTGGAGATCTGGAGATTGTAATTTATATCCAGGTTTTGGTTGCATCCAGCTGGCGCACGTTTAATTCTCTCCTGTATCAAGTTTTCCTATGCGCAAGCAGACGTGACCCTTCCAACTCGTCGTTCGAGGTTGTGTGGTGGTGACTGGTCCGGAATATTATTTGTTCAGGTGCAGTTAATAACGAGCGAAGTACAGTACTTTGTATCGCAGGGATGAGTCGAAGCTTTATCGGAAGTATCAAAACGATCGTGGGTGACTAGAGATGTGAACCGCCGTCTTCGTCGCAACAGAATAACAGGTAGACGGAATGGAAGAAGGATCGAGGAGGATGTTGCTTATTTGGAGAGGAAAGAGAAAGGTTTGGGGTTTGGGGTTTGGAGAGCTTTTACATGATGGCGTGGTTCCCTCTCTATGACGGCGACGGCTACGGAAACTTACCTTCAGCGAGAAATAGGAACCAGGCCACGCCAGGGAGGAATAGCCAGCCACACCACCACGACGCACACTGATTCTTTTTCACCCATTCTTATTCGTACAGCCTGGCTTTCACTTCGTATTTGGGAGCTCTCAACTGTTGCTGTGCTGTTTGTTACTGGATCGGCACAGCACTGCCATCCACTGCCACTGCCACTGCAGAAAATGCATGGCAGGCGGCCTTCCCAGACCAGATGCCAGAATGCAGATACAGCTTTCTTTGTGAATCTGATCAGTGATACTAATCCGGAGGATGCGGCGACTCTCACACCGTCTCCACACTTCCCTTGGACGCGGCTGCTTCAGACTCTGATGAAAACAAGCAAGACACGCAGCACCGCGCAAGCTTCATCCTACTTAGTCCTAAACCGGCCGTCCTCTGGTCGCTCTTTGGCTTTATTGACGAAACCTTGTTGCCTTTGAAGTTTGCACCCTCTTATCATAGCCAGGCTAGGTCAAGCTATATGGTAATTGTGTAATGCAGAAAGGAAAAGGCCCGGTAAAAACCCTCCTAGCTGATTGTTTGTTTTCAACTGATCTTCAGCATATCCTTTCCAAGATGCCCTGACAATTATACCCGGGTGACTCGACTCGTAACGACCTTCTCACCGATATATGCTGTGATTCTGCATCAAGTGCAGTGCAGCAGTGCGACCAACTGAATATCAATCCGCCTCCGCTCTCCGTACAGTACCTCACATCGCATCCCTGCTCCTCAAATAAAGTTTCGTTACGGAAAGCTCGGATTTGGTTTTGCACATCCACATTTCACCTCTCCTTGCCCCTAATTGGCCGGGCAATATCTAAATGGGGATTCGTAGCAAGGGTAGCACCACCTATTCTTTCCTCCAAGACTCTACGGAGGACCGAGGTATATATACTTCGTAGTATTTGCCGCGTATTGGTACTCGTACGAGGTCGGTTCATATGGAACATCCCGTGGGGTTGGGTGACATACCCTAACGTAAGAGTCTCGGCATCCGAACGAGTGCGGGTTTGCTTACTGTATGCTTCGATAACCGGGTGATCAGCCTTGTCGGTGTGGGTATGGGACAGGGTAGGCTAATCCCGATGAATTAATCGTCGATTTCTCTTTTTATATAAATAGAACAATGGCAAAGGCCCAACTCTTTCATTATGAATTGAACTTCTCTAGAGATACATTATTCAATGCCTTTATAATAAATATTTTCATTTTTATAAAGTTTCCTTCATATCATTTCCTTTCAGCAAGTAATCATATCCTGCTTCCCTCTACTATTATTGGTATATATGTCACGTGCCACACGTGATCTTACTTCAATGACTAAGCAGCGATGAGGCCGCTGCAACCTTAGTTACTGTAGAACCTCTGCACCTAGAAATGCAATCATGAAACCACAAACAGATTACTAGGCCAGACCAGTGCACTATGTGTAACCAACAACTATAGTATTAATAAAAATCTAACTTTATAATATCGCCCTCCTACTCCATCGTACAGCATCAACCACATCTGTATCACTCGGCAGCTAGGATAGAGATAGGGATAACGGCATTGCATGATTATCCAGCAAAGGGCTTCATCGATCGATAGGCTGTTCCTAAACATCAATAATAAGCGCACTGGCGTTTCATTTCGTTGCGTTTTTTGAAACGCGGAGGAATCGATCGCATCACAGAAGGGGCTGTACATGGATGTACTGTACAGTACTGTATGTATTATCTAACAACAGGTAGCCGTTTTGGGTTAAGTGGTTGGAAATGTCTACTTATGAATTGACTACCTAGGTAGGTAACTGACTGACTTGTTTTGATTCAAGGAAGATGTTGGTACCGTGTCATTGCCCAAGCTATAGTGAAAATGACTGAAGGTATTGTCTGATTCGGAGTAGGCGTGGGGCGGAATTACCATAGTAGAACCCAGGGTTACCAGATTGGGTATGTAAGTTTTCATGACGAGAAGCCTTCTTCCAGATGCGCCAAGTTCTTGTAGATTCACATAGTGAGGTTTGAATTTATACTTGTGGTTGAAAATCAGAGCTGGCGCATCAACGCCCAGGCAATACACCTCCAAGAACATGTTTTCTTACAAGATCAAGCAAATAAGGCGTTTTGAGGCCCAAACCCCTCTTTTCAATGAGAAGGCTCCAGCCTTGTCTTCAGGTTCAAGTAGCAATATTTACCAATGATCCGTTTTCACATCTCCAAGACACGTAAGAACCACCTGGTTGTAATTTGCTTTATTCATCGCTACCAGCAAAGGCTATGCACTTATCGCTGCCCCAACTCGGTGGCCGAATCGTGCCATATCATCAACCGTCTCCCATGCCATGCGACCAACTCCAAAGCCACGATCCTCTTATATCGAAGATGGGTACAACATAACACGAACCGATGCGCCGAATGACTTGGGTGGAAGGTTGCGTCTGAACTGTGCTCGTACTACCCCCGAGTTGCCTAGGAAAGATGTCAACACTCCATTCTTCGAGCTTGAAGATTCAATTCTTCTGAAATGTGCTGTGAACGTACCATGTGGTCTAGTAACGGTACCCCAGATAACCCTAATCTTTGATCCTCTAACCTCTCTGTGCGCACGGTAAACGAAAGCAACCTTCTTTCCGAGATAGAAGCTGGGATCCTGTCAGCATATTGAGTCTATTATAATTGCAATGTCACATACTTTGCTGCCTTGGTATCATCCACACCCTCAATCTTGATCAGAGAGGTGTTTGGGTTGGTGACACGCTTGCCTCGTTGATATGACAGATGGCGACCCCTACGAAAATATCCTGTCAGCGCGAGTCCTTCGTTTCCAAAGCCAGATCTGTGGCTCGCAATCCACTATCCCTTCTGTTCCCATCCTCCCCGTCGCAAATTGTTGTTGCTGCGCTCGGTGACCAGGGCTTGGTATTACTCACTTGACATAAACTGGAAATAAAGTCAGCGTTTGTCCATGTCAGAAAAGCAGCCTGAACCGGAGATGAAGATATTCGCAATCCGCAGAGAAAGCCCGCGACTGCCTGGCTGCGAATTGCGATATTCTCGTCCCCGAGCACATGGAATTGAATGGCACTTACGGCGGTGACCAGCTTCGGTAGGCATCTTGAATGGGATCTCTCTTCCTAGAGCTAGAATCGAGAGATGATGGAGATTTAATCAACGATACTTCCTGGCGAGGAGGGTTCGTTGATGGCGATTGTTGTCGAATTTGTCGTTGGGCTTAATAGCAAGCTGTATTTTCGAAATTATTGAGTGGCCTACAATGTCAGCTAGTGTGTTCGCTAAGGATATATCACGTGACTAGCAACAGCTGCAGCTGAGCTGGTAGGTTGAAGGTTGAATTAGAGTTAAGATTAGAGATACTTCAAAAGTTCTTGACATGCTTGATTGTTTCTATATACCTGCATACACTTCTTCTGGTGCTCTTCTGATCAGATCTCAAGAAGCGGACTGGTTTTCTGAAGCAGGCTCTCGTGTGCGACTACTGTACTCCACCATAAAAGTTCGCGACTCATGATATTCCATCTGTCTATTCTACACAGCAAGGAGCGGTGAGATACCATCTTTGCGGTGCATGTTGTTTGGAGATGTATGTCATCATGGCATGGCACGGTATGACACAGCAGTCTGGAGATATATACCTATCCTATCCTACGTACTACGTACAGTATACCTCCGTAGTCGTGACAAACTCAGTGTCGGTGTCAGGTCGGAGTCTTAGGTGTAGGTAGGGAAGGCAACTAACACCGTCAATGCAGAGTGCTTTATAATCTTCTCGACCTCGACCGTCCTCACCAGCCGAAGCAGCTCCAGCCTCTTGCAGAAGTCTCGTCCATAGTTGTGCCGGCCTTGGGTAGGGGATAGGATAGGTGGGGGGTGGGGTGGGGTGGATAAAAGCCTTTTGCCTTCTTAGCTGTTAGGCGTAAAAGACTTCTCATCTATTCGAGTAGACAGATATTCATGGGAATTGTCTCTGGCAATACAATTAAGAACCTCATAACCTCATCGCAGCTTCTCCAACCTCTAGTTAGCCACCTCTTCACGTTACGTCTCAAAGCAGATATCGGAGTTAAGTGCCTCAGACTTTCCGGGCCTTTACTGCAGCGACTCTCGCTTCTTCTTTAGCCTTCGCAGCACAGACAGCACAGGACAGGACCCCGCCGTAGGTAGCTCCCTTCTCGACGATTATTCAACAATTTCAACAACAACTGGCCGCATCTTCTTCCATAAACCTCCAGCCTCCTCGTCTCTATTCCCTCTCTCCCTCCTCTCTATTCCCCTTCGCCATCACCCTTCCCCCATACAGTCACCTTCACGTTCACCCGCCATGGCCGACACAGTCATCAAGCCTGAAGAGGTACCGCATGCTGGGTAAGTCTCTTGTTGATTTTCCCTCACCTCTACGTCACTTGAAGCCTAGCAATCGCCCCCCAGGAGCTATCGGAACAGCCCCCACAGCGAAGGAAAAACTTGTGAATAGTTTCACCAGCTGTAGAAGGAGGAGAAAATGCCATAGGCTCCTTTTTGTGGCCCAATGGGGCTTTCAATTCCCTCCGCGAAAGTGCTGAAGATGCTGATAATACTTGCCCCACTAGGACTATTGAGTTGAAGGATAACACCACCATCGTTGTCCTAGGTGCCTCCGGTGATCTCGCAAAGAAGAAGACGGTAAGGGGAAAATGTTTTCGGGAAATCTGAGCGTTTGCTAATCCGTCTCACTTTAGTTCCCTGCCCTATTCGGTCTCGTAAGTCATCCCCGAAGTCCCCCTTCGGCGTTCAAATCACTGACCATTCTCGTCATCAGTATCGCAACCAATTCCTTCCAAAAGATATCAAGATTATCGGATATGCACGGACAAAGATGGACCATGAGGAATACCTCAAGCGGGTCAAGTCCTACATCAAGACACCCACAAAGGATATGGAGAAGCAACTGCAGGAGTTCTGCAATATCTGCTCATATGTATCCGGGCAATACGATAAAGATGAGTCGTTCATTGAATTACGGAAACACCTTGAGGAGCTCGAGAAAGGCCGCAAGGAAGACAACCGCGTCTTCTACATGGCGCTACCACCCAGTGTTTTCACAACCGTTTCCCAGCACTTGAAGAAGAACTGCTACCCCAAAAGCGGTGGTCTCGCCAGAATTATTGTGAGAGTTGATTTCACCCATGCTGAATTCCGTACTGACAATCTAAATAGGTCGAGAAACCATTTGGAAAGGATCTTGCCAGCTCTCGAGAATTGCAAAAGGCATTGGAGCCAAACTGGAATGAGGAAGAGATCTTCCGTATCGATCATTACCTGGGTAAGGAGATGGTGAAGAACATTTTAATTCTTCGATTTGGTAACGAATTCTTCGGCGCCACGTGGAATCGTAACCACATCGACAATGTTCAAATCTCCTTCAAGGAGCCGTTTGGAACCGAGGGTCGAGGTGGATACTTTGATGAGTTTGGAATTATTCGTGATGTTATGCAAAACCATTTGCTGCAGGTGTTGACCCTTCTCGCAATGGAACGGCCAATCTCCTTTTCTGCAGAGGATGTCAGAGACGAGAAAGTCCGAGTTCTCCGAGGTATTCCAGCTATCGAGCCAAAGAATGTCATCATCGGTCAATATGGCAAGTCATTAGATGGAAACAAGCCTTCCTACAAGGAAGACGACACCGTGCCAAAGGATTCGAGATGTCCTACTTTCTGTGCTATGGTTGCATACATCAAGAACGAGCGGTGGGACGGTGTGCCGTTCATCTTGAAGGCTGGTAAGGCTCTCAACGAGCAAAAGACCGAGATCAGAATCCAGTTCAAGGACGTCACCTCTGGTATCTTCAAAGACATTCCCCGAAACGAGCTTGTCATGCGAATCCAGCCCAATGAGAGCGTATACATCAAGATGAACTCCAAGCTGCCTGGTTTGAGCATGCAAACTGTTGTCACTGAGCTTGATTTGACCTACCGAAGACGTTTCTCCGACCTGAAGATCCCCGAAGCCTACGAATCCCTTATCCTCGACGCTCTCAAGGGCGACCACTCCAACTTTGTCCGTGATGATGAATTAGACGCTAGTTGGAGAGTCTTCTCTCCACTCCTTCACTACCTCGATGACAACAAGGAGATCGTTCCCATGGAATACCCATACGGTAAATTATCTTGAGTTTTTAAAATGGTGTTGAGCTAATATTTCAAAGGATCTCGTGGCCCCGCTGTCTTGGATGACTTCACATCTTCATACGGCTATAAGTTCTCTGACGCAGCAGGATATCAATGGCCAACCACCGAAACCACACCCAACAAGTTGTAGGTAGGGAACACTAGATCTAGAGCCAAGCGAAGACAGTAGATAGAGAGAATCGATGATGAGATCCTACCCATCCTAGCTGATTTTCAATTTCGGCTCTGATCTTCTTTCTGTCTACGATATATCGCACAACAATACCCTCATGGTTTTCAGCGTTCCTAAGAAACCGGGAAAGTGTCAGCCATTCAACATCATGAGGTTTTCTTTCTGGGTGACGGCGTCTTGAAACATGCGATTGGTTTCCGGGGAACAATTAGGAATAGGATCATACAGCTTGTTTACGAGCAACAAACATTCAGTTTTGGATTCTGGTCATAGTGGTGATTGTGATTCCTATACTTGCGTGCTCAAAGTCTATTCTATTTGCCTTGAAAATGTAAGCTCAATACCTTATGGTTACTCCCCCTCTGCAATCATCTATACGTCCTTACGCCTCGCGAGCTAGCTCTATTTACCTACTTCCTCTTCTCTAAAGATGCTTCGCGAAGAACTGCGCTAGCTGGTTATATCTACTTTCATTAGCAAATCAATCAATCAATCCTCTTGGCAATCATCATCTCAGATCAGGAAGGAGGGAAATTGAAAGAGAACTCACCCCCTTTCATACTCCCTCAAATTCGCTTCGTCTTTTAGATTAGCCCTCGCTCCCATCCACTACAACACAACAGATTAGCACTATTTTCGATGCCATCCATGCTATCCTATCTGCACAGAGCTCTTCTCTTCTCTTCTCTTCTTGAGAATGCTGCTTCCGAATGATAATAATAGTGCAGAAACCACAAGATTGAATTGGAATTCCGAGGTAGGTAGGTAGGAGTAGATAGGTAAGGTAGGTAGCTATAGGAACGTACCCCATGGTGCATCCCCTTATACGTATCCACGACGCCCGGCTTCCCCGCCCCCACAAGCACGTCCTTGTACTCCTGTACGATGCTCGCGTCTTCGCCGTCGGAGGCCAGTACAATGTGCGGGATGGTTATTTGGTGGGCGTCGGAGGTTGCTAGTCGTCTGTTTGGTGGGTGGGTTAGTTGGGGTGGGTTTGTTTTTGTCTTGTTTTGCTTTTACTTTTGCTGGGGTATGGGATGTGGGATATGATTTGAGTGAAGGGAGGAGGGAGGAGAGGGGCGGATCTTACCCTGGATGTACTTGTCCGGATGCTTTGAACGGTGTGCCCGGGCCGGAAGAAAGCGCTACTACCTATTGTATTACGGGATATCCATCAGCTTCAGTACAATACCTAGGGAAAAACCGACTGCACGACCAATGGCTTTCCTCATCATGAAAGATTGAATTGCATAGGATATGATAAGGGAAGAAAATGGGGAAAAGAAAGAGGCAAACCAACCTTTCCTCCCCAACAAAGTCCATAAGCACCCCACGCCTCCACACCCTCCCACCTCCCCTTTCCCTCAGCCACAACATCTTTCAGCGCCGGTACGAAGCCGGAGAAATCCAAAGCGAGTTTGCTGAATGCTTCTTTGAGGGCTTTGATTTCTTCGGATCTGTGTGAACGTAAGCTCGGTGCGCTTTAGCCGCTTTTCTTCTTCCAATGACAAGAGAGGAGTAGAATATAGATGAGGTTAAATAGACAAGGGCATAGCAATCAGTAGGAAAGGGGGAAGGCATACAAATCATCAGCATACCAACTAAACTCCATCTTCACACCCTTGAAGAAATCAGGAACGAGCACGAGAGCGCCCAACGCCGCCGATAGAGCGTCTGCGCCTTGTAGTGTCTGTGGGGCGGGACCGAAGATATCGTAGCTGTGAAGTACTTAGCATAAACAAACATGTACTGTATTACATACAGTACAGTACTAGAGATGGCATGGAATGGGAGGTAGGAAATACATACAGTGCTACGAGAGCTTTGGTTGCGCTTGGGGGACCTGTGATATCTGTATCGTTTATCAGCTAGTTGAACAATCGATAGAATATAAGAATATCAATCAAACAATGATGATATTTGAAAACAGCAGTGATTCTTCAAAAGCCAATGAAGAAAGGCGTAAATACATACAAGTCTTCAGCCCAGCAACTTCCCCCCAAGACCCCTTATTCTCATAGCCCTCCGCGATAACAGGAGGGATCGTCTTGCAGGCTTCGCAAGTCATCTTCGTCGCTCCGAATTCCTTTTCAAATCGTTACAATACAATGTTTTCTCGTATTTTGAAAATTGGCTGGCTGATTAGTTGACTTCCAGAAGTAAGAGTAGATGCTACAGTTAGTAAATGAAGTGAATATGAGTACGGATATAGGGATATATATTTAAGTCCGGTACAACGGATAGAAGTTGCGATGTGGTATAAGCAGGGGCGATGACGTATTTATTCACCCGGTGGCTATTTGTATTTCGAAATATGCGACAAGAGTTGCAAACTAGGCCGCAGGTCTACAAGCAAGACCAGAGGAGGGTACTTACTTATTCACTGCGATATGAAGGCTCCTCTTTGAATATGCAAGATATCACTCCATTCAACCAACCACTAGCATAAACCAACTGCTACGTATGTGCAAACACCTCCCTCTTCCCACCCACCTTCCCTTACCCATATATCAACCAATTGACCGAGCAATCATCATAAGTCATGAAGGAAACCTCCTATGTGAATGAAACAAAACCACACTACTCGCCCGCCTAAAAAGTAATATCCTAACCCAGTGTGCAAACTCCCTCCCTAGTATCCAAATGCTCCCATAACCGTTTTTGTAAATGAACAAGGGAATGAAATCCAAATGCTGTACAAGGACCTCAACCAGTCAACAATACAGCCCTATACCAAGAACGCCATGCCACTTTGCCCCCCAAAATGCACTCCGGTCCCAATGCTTCAATTGACGCCGATGGTTTTTCAAAACAGACTTGTCTGCCGTCGATGTAGCATGTAGTCTCCAGTTTCAAAAATCAAAGAAGGTTCATTCCAACAAGACTCATCTCTTACGTCTTGACTCCCGTTTCGGATCCCGTGTCGGACCTCGTCTCGCTTCTCGCTTTGCTTCTCGCGGTTGATCTAACTCCCCATAACGAGCTTTATATCTCTGTAATTCCTGTAGTTGTGCCGTCAAGGCACCCAGAACATCACCCATTGGAGCTCGAAGCTGGTCAAGGTCAGTCAAGTTAGGGCGACCAGCTGCTAGATGGCGGGTTGCGAGAGCTGAAATGCAGGTCTAGCTTTTGTTAGTTACTTGGAACTAAGGTATCCACGGGATAAAAGCGACTTACCTCGATTCTTGAAACCTGGTGGGTCAAGAAATTTACCAAAAATCGATCGGTAACTTCCCCGCCCCTGTTTTTCATCTTCTCCATCATGGCTGTCTCTGGCGCTTGCAAAGCAGAACCATTACCCTTCTCTCCCTCTAGACTTGAGCACAACATTTCAAGTCTCAAACTAACGGACCAGAGGGCCCAGACGCTCTCTGTGTCAATACTCAATTGGGTCTGCTGAGACAGGGAAGCCGGTTCTTCGGCCGTGACAAGTGCATCGGTCTCTGCGATTCGTTGTTGATAGTGAATGCGACCAGACAACGCATGTGGATACATAAGGTAGATGTACTCTGGGTTCTCCAAACCCTTGAGTTTGCGTTCTCCTATATCCTTAACCTCGAAACCTTGACTACTGAGCGAACCCAATTCACGGCGGATGGACTGCGAGAGAAGATCGTTATCATATGCTTCTTCGGATCCCGTAGAATCGGATCGATCGCTTTCGCTGTATGTCTCGAGGCAGCGCTGGATTTCGGAAATAAAGTCTGCTGAAACTGTAATTTGCCCACCATCTGCAACGGTAGATATTCGAGAGGCACGATTAACCATAGGTCCAAAATAATCCATTCGTCTGGTGACGGGATCATTCTCGCACACAGGGCGGCCCCAATGAACGCCCATCCTTACGCTCAATCCCTTGAAGATCAGGGTTTGGTCATTGTCGTAAATTTCCTGACCCAGGACGCTACCCAGCACCTCAGAGGGCCATTCAACCTCAAGAAGGTGAGATTGAACAGCAAAACACCAAAGAAGGGCGGAGGTTGCCGTTGGAAAGGAGACCATGAACGCATCTCCTTCGGTTTTGACTTCATATCCTCCAATATTACGCAATTGGCGACGCATGACATCGTTATGTAGTTTGATAGCGGAACGCATAGCACTCGGATACGTTTCCCACAAGAGAGTTGAGCTTTTGATATCAGTAAACACAATACTAACATCTCCGACAGGGGCTGGAACTTCAGCCTGAAGTCGACGTAGCATGGAATCATCCACAAAATCGCCCTTCTTCTTAGTTCGTTTTGGGGCGGCATAAGGCTCGTCAACAATAGCTGAAGGATTGAGCATCAAGCTTTGGACTCGGTGTGGCCTTATCTGGGCTCTCTTTTTGAGATCACTAACCCCGATCATCATGACCATGAGCTTGTTTGTGGCTCCAAAAGCCATTGCTAGATCGCGTAATTTCTGTGCAGCGCGCATGAGATCGTTTCGTTCATTCCGAGCGACGTCAACCACAAGTTCCGGGGATAAGTACTCCCAGAGTTCTCGCGAAGCCAGGATAATCATTTCGTCCTGGTCTTTGACGGTTACTTGGGTGATATTAGGAGCAGCTTGCACGGCGGGCATAAGTTGAACGTAGCCAAATGCTCGTGAGACCTCAAGTATGTCATTCAACTTGCCTTGACGGGATACCCACCCGCCAGCGTCTCTAATACGCTGTCGTTCGTTGGGCTCCGCGGGATCATGCTTCCTTGTCAATATACGATGGCTGCCTTCCGAATGAACCAACATTGCCTGTGCATCTCCGACATTGGCTACGTAGAGTTCAGACTGTTGTAGAAACATAACAGTAGCAACTCCACCAGAATGCAAATCAGCTTGGTTGAGTACGGCTGGAGCAGCTGATCCTCGATGTGATAGCAGGGAGCGCTCCTCTGTGTGCTGGGTCGCGGCGGTTGCCAGATCTTTATTGAGTGCCAGGAAAGCGCGTCTTAGCGCATCTACAGGGGTTTCGTTCAAAGAAGTATTCAACCTTCGCAATTCGTCAATGAAAATATGACCAAAATTTTCGTGCAAGTATTTTGCAATCTTGGAACCACCATTTGACAGTGCTTGCCCATCGAACATTCCCAACAGCGTTTCCGTCTCCTCGGAGTTGAATCGGGGTACAACCATGTCGATGAGAGACAGGTGGTCATTCTTTCCCAAGGTGTCCGCCATTCCGTATGCCAACTGTCCAGCAAGAGAGCCTGATGTACGAACTCTTCGGTCTTCAGTTTGGTCCGGGATGGTTGGGATAGTCAGAGTCACATCCATTAGACCAAGTATTCTCAGATGCTGAAGCGCACTGAAATCGGTGAGATCTCGCCCGTCCCGTGAACCTGTACCACCAGGTACGCTCGGCTTGATTTCAAGACGTTTATTGCCCGAAAGGTTAAGGTATTTGAGGTTCGTGTTCCAGTTCCAGTTCCAGTCATATGGCCAGTTCGAAACGTTGTACTTAAGGGAGTTGCTACCACAGTCAAGGACAGCCAATCTATGGGCTTTGCCAAGCTCGGCAGGCAAAGTTTGAAATTTGTTGCCATTGATATGTAGAACCTGTAGTAGACTAAACTCCTCGAAATCGTCCGAGGGGAGAGATGTGAGTTCATTTCCGGAAAGGTAGAGCTCTACAAGCTGAGGCCAACTTTTCAGTGACCGTTGCGGCATGTCATTGATGTCGTTGTAAGAAAGATTTAGGACTCGCAGCTCGCTCAAGAGGGTAATCTCGTCAAAGACATCGTCATCAAGCTGATTTTCGGCGAGATAGAGGTTGCGCAGTGAACCGGCGAATGTATTGATCAGCCTAGTTGAAATCCCGGAATCTTTTCGCGTAACTGTTGGAGGTGTCATTGTCCCAATTGTTGTTTCTGACGCACTTCGAGATACAACGGAGGTTTTGCGGCCACCTTTCCCATAGACAGAAACAACAGAACCTTTCCTATCTGCTGCTCCGGGAACTGGGGAGCCACCAACGCTAAGAAGGCCGCCTGACGCCTGACTGGGTCGCCGTTGGCCGAAAGCTTCCAATGGGCCAAGTTCCTCGAAACTCGAATTGTTCGAGCCATTTGTTTGTCCTGGTATCGTCTGGGATTGAACTTCTCCAGGGACGTGAGGCGCTCGGGAAGCTGGTTTTGGGAAGTTGTCGAGGACGTTGGAAGATATATTGAGCGTCTCAAGCTTACTCGCCCACCATAACTCCATTGGAAGCTTCTTCAGGTTATTCTGCCTAACGTCCAAGATGCGCAGCTCAGTAAGACAACCTATCTCCGGAGGTAAACCACTCAAGGCATTCATTGCTATGCTGAAATGTTCTAGCTTCCGAAGCTTTCCTATATGACTAGGTAACGACACAAAGTGATTATTGTCTAGCACCAACTTGACAAGATTTGGCATCCTATCGAATGCTGCATCGGGTATATAGGCAAGTTTCGCGTTAGACAAAATTAATGTAGTGAGGCTTGGCACAGCGTTCTGGATCTCGAACTTGGTCACAGGATTCGAATTTAGGCGGAGGACACGAATTCTCGCAAACTCATTCTCACAACTCGACACCGAGTTGTGGTCTGCGGAGATTTGCTCGATCTTGGGAAGCTTGGCGATAACATCGATACTGGACACGGTATTGTAACGAATGTCGACCTCTTTCAAGTTTACCAGATCTCCAAAAGTTTCAGGGAGGGAACCCGTCAAACGATTGTTCGTCATGACGAAGCGTTCAAGATTCTTCAGTTTGCCAATCTCATCTGGAAGGCTTGAAATACCATTGAAGCTCATGTCAATATCAACAAGCCCTTCTAGACCGCATAGAAATTTAGGAAACGATTCAAGGAAGTTCGATGATACGTTTAACGTCCTCATGGATTTAAATCCGCCAAAATAAGGTGGCAGGCTCCTAAGCCGGTTGTTGGCCAATTTCAAGCTAATAAGCCCAGAGAGTCTTGACAGCTCCGCGTGCTCGAGCTGTTCCAGTCTATTATTAGACACATCAAGGATGGTAAGTCGAGTAGCCTGACTGAGACTGGGTGGAAGTTTCCAGGCTTCGTTGTTGATGAACTTGATATCGCGGAGGTTTTGACAGGATTGTATAAAATCCTTTGGTAGATCAAGTGAAAGATTCCGCGACAGGTTCAGTGATATAATCTCAGACGCTTTGGAGTAGAGAGCGATAGGGATTGTGATAAGATTTTTTCCAGACAAGTCGACATGGCTGTATTTTTGCACTCGACTGACTGTGGGATCGTTGGCAACATTGGCATAGCCGCTCTCACGAGCAGGAATGAAAGAGAATCGGCAAAGATAGCTATTGTCTTCTCTACCAACATCCTCAATTTTGTCTGCATCTTCGTATCCAGCTTGTTCGAGTAGGCGCTTCTGGATTACTACCGGCCGTTCGCCAGCTCCAAGTATGCGCTGGAGATCGTGCTTTTTCATCACAATCTGATAGTTTTCGAGACTATCAGTCATAAAGGTCTTCCTGCCAAGCTGGCTCATGATGTCGGTGACTGTTGCATTGAGCACCGTTGAAAGTGTTGCAAACGTTCCGTCGAGCCTGAATATTCGAATACAATAAGGTGAGCCTTTTTCCTCTGCTTTCGGCGGCACTCCCTCATCGTCTATTTCAGGAAGTCTAGACATGTTGTCATCGTGCACCTTTTTTACGGCCCAGCTATCAGGGGCGTTCCAACCTAGGCTGCTGACATTCTCGGCTTCTAATTTGGCTTCGTCTTCCGCGTTCCCGGCAAATATCGTGTTATCAAGGGGTGTCAAGGGCTGCGGTTTGGCAAGTATACCTTCCATATTCGACAGATTCGTATCGAGATTGAAGATTGCTCCAGAGTTTGGATCGCCCTTTTCATTCGAGTCTAAAACAGATTCTGATTCGTCCACGATCTTCCCTCTGCCTTTCCTAAAGGGCAACTTGTGGAAGGTACCTTGCCGGGGCTGAGCAGGCGGGCGGCCAAATTGGCCATTGTCAATCTTGGAAGGAAGGTTGATTTCTGATCCTGCTAGGCTTGCTTCGCGATTCCAGGGATCGATGTCAGGGGAACCGTTGGTTTTGCCATTGTCTGATCTCGAGGCAGGCGAGTTGAACGAGCGGACAGAACCCGGAAGATCCTTCAGTTTATTATCTTTGTGCTTCCGGAAACGACCTAACAGGCTCCGTTTGGCAGGCTGTCCTGGTGGCGATGTAGACCCGTCATATATAGCGGTCTTGGCCGTTCCTTGAGCCCAAGTACTCATTCCACTTGGAGTTGGGCTAGCTGGTCTGGTTGAAAGGCTCGAATTGGACCCGTTGCCCAGAGCGGTTCCCATAGAAGTCGGCGCACGATCTTTATGCTTCGTGTTGAATGCTGAATTTTCCCGACTTATTGTTGGATGTAAAGCCTTTGAGTCGTCGCTACTCTTGTTTTGTCGGTGATTGTGTCCAGGGAGATGTACATGGGAATGATGTCCGGATCGCGAGGAGGTCTTCAGCAGCAGATTTTGAGTTGTTTCACCTGTATATCGTTCCCGATCAGGGCCAGAGAGTTTCTCTCTGATAGGCGCTTCTCCGTAACGGTTGATATCCTACAGCGTATGTTAGCGATGAGTATTTCATTTGCTGCTTGGTAATATTTAGATTTGACCCCGCTGTGGATTCGAGGCACGCCCCAATCAGATCGTGGTGATCATGCCCTCCAAAAGATTGACTGGTAAAATAGGGGCCTTGGATTTGTCTGTAGTGCAGAAGCAACTAACCTGTGAGTCTTGGTAGAGGAATGGAACCACATCACTAGAAGGAACTGGCGTTCGTGGTCTAGAGGAAGCAGGCGATGCGTCCCTGTCCCGTTGCGTGTTGTCGGTAGCAGATGAAAGGTTTCTTTCTCGGTGACTTCGCGCAAATGAATGTGATCGATGGCTTTGAGGAAGGCTCGATTCTGACCCATCCTTCCCTGTAAACTCATCTCCAAATAGATTTTTTAACGACTTATGGATGCCTCCTCGACTTGATTTTGAGCCCGTACTGCTCGCAGTCGTCACGCTGGCAACAGAAGGTCGCCTTCCATATCCAAATTCCATATCGGCAGGCGAATCACTCGCAGCTGTATTCCCGGTCAAGGCTGTTCCCGGCCTGAAGCCTGGAGACAAGGCCGAACCCTGAGAAAGATTGTCGCTCGAATCATCATAGAAGCTCGTCCCAAAAGCATTCGCGCTTGTGGGCGTTCCATTCGAACCGTTGGTCGTCATCCATGGGGCGATCTGATTGGGGGAAGCCAGGGCCGAGGGAGGATTATGTGAAATCTGGGGTATGCGGTTACTAGAAGACTCCAATACCTTTAGGTCGCGCCTGTAATTTCCAAAGTCGCTCATTCGATGATCCCGCGGGGATACATTGGGGGAGGTCGAGGAGGGACCTGCAGAGGTGGGAGATACATCTAAGTCATTAGATACCCTACGACCAACGCAAATGCAAGCATCCGTTAGTCAAAGAACATCTTCAAAGCTTCCATCCAGGCCCATGGGAAAGGTTCCAGTGGAAATGGGTAGTCTCACTTGTTTCTGCCAGTCTCCGTGTTAACCTTCATAGGAGCGCGACGCGCAGCGCCCTGGAAAAGGGTCGAGGGCTTGATTGTATCCGAGCTTTGCCATGAATCCGTAGTTGCGGAGCTCAGACGAGAGGAGTGCGCATCTTGCCTGGTCATCGTTGACCAGCACTCTCAGCTAAGAGGGGTCCATAGGTAGCGGGAAGGAGTTGTGGTGGTGGTTGTGTAATGATGATAAGAGTAAGGATATTGTATAATACGGTAGGCTGGTGATAGTCGTGGTGGTGTATGGTATGTGTACGGAGTAGAGGAGTGAGGCTTGAAGGATGATGAAGTGCGTCTGATTGGCAGCATTCGGCATCATCCGTGCTTCTGGTACATACATACCCGCTCCGCCACATCTACTGCACAGACATCAACCCAAGATGAAGAAACCTCGCTTGTATGAGAAAAAAGCTGAGAGAGAAAGGGACAGTTTTTATTGATTGTAGATTCTATACCAAATCTACGAGTGTGAGGATTAAAAGCGAATTCGACCTCCAAAGGTCTATCTACTACCGTCTGATTACTCGGCTGAACAAAGCCCCCGCCGAGATACAAACAAACAGATCCCCTCTTTGTCTCAAACCAAGCACACGTTTACTCTCTGTAGAAGCTATTGATCCTATACCACGGATTGTTTGTATGCTATCCAGACCTCAACAGTATATATATACGATATATTTTTATGTTTTAAGTTGGGTCTTGGATAGCCGTACCCGTGCCAAGAGTGATACTAACGAAAAGCGAAAAGCCAGAGCATCATGGTTGAGACATTCAAAGACAGTTGGGGACCCATGCATGGCAACAACAATCCCCCGGGACACCGAACAGTCCAAGCTCGTATTTGGGCGTCTTGGATACGGCGTGTCACGTGTGACTATGTTAGGCAAGGCAAGACATCGAGTGAGTGAAGTGATAGGAACTTTTGGTTCTCCATCTCCGGGCCATCAGAAGTCGGAAGTTGCAAGAGGAAGAAGAGCGCGTCAAGTTGCGCATTCATATCCATATTATATGAAGACAGCTTTGCTTCATAAAGCCTTGAAAGATAGAGTAGTAAATAGAAAGACAAGACATCTGTTCTAGGTTTCAACAGGTGATTAATATCCCATAACTGTCAGACAATTAGATGATGCCTCCTCAACTTAAAGCTCCCATAATAATGAGCGCTGCTTTGTCTGTCGAGGATATACTTCACTTCGTATAGTAAGGCACTCGCGTGCGGTCGGAAGTATCCCGGTGGGTCCGTACGGCACTTGGACCAAGTGAAAGTGTGTGAGAGTGGCCCAGCCTCGCCATTTCTCTCACAGCAGCCCAGCCTTCCTTCTTGCTACCTTTCACTCCATACAACAACAATTGCTATATTGGCAACAGCGCATCGAGTCCTCGACAAAGACCCACTCATGCTGCCAGCCTCTCTTCTTTAACACGAGTACCCAATTAACTTGACAGGAAACTTGCTAACACATTTTGCTGACGTTGCGGTACCACTACAACCCAACCTCCCCATACTAATCTGCCGCATCCTTTTAAGACTTCACTGGTAGCCGCATGAACTCTGCATATTTCTCATTATAGCATCCTTTCCACCCATCCATCTCACTGTCAAAGGTTACATCCGACTATATCTCACTGGACTCTGTGCTTTTCCCGCCCGGTACTTGAAAGCTCCAGTCCCACCACCAAACATTCCACCGAAGACCGAGTCCTCGACTTCAATAATAGAAGTGGTGTGACAACCCGCCCACCCTCTTGGTCTTTACCTCTTCTTATATCTTTTTTTTTTTCTGTACACTATTCAAGCGTCCTCTTCAGCCAGCGTAATGTTTTCAAGATCCATCCTCAGTTTCGCCGCGGCGGTGCTGTTCTGCAAGCCTGCGTTATCGCAGACCTACTCATCTTGCAATCCCCTCTTTGGCAGTAAGTCACTCAACCACAGATGGTATTGCACAACAACTAACAGAATACTAGCCTGTCCTGCAGACACTGCTCTAGGGAAAGCCATCAGCATCGATTTCACGAAAGGCGAAGTCGATTCTTTCACCGCTACCGGAAGTCCTACCTACGATTCGTCCGGCGCTCATTTCACCGTTGCAAAATCTGGAGATTCTCCTCAACTCTCAAGCATATTCTATATCATGTTCGGCAAGGTTGAACTCACAATGAAGTCTGCTCCTGGCGCTGGAATTGTTAGCACACTCGTGTTGGAATCGGATGACCTGGACGAGATCGATATGGAGTGGCTTGGAGCAGATGATACGGAGGTGCAGACCAATTACTTTGGCAAAGGAGATGTGACCACGTATAACAGAGGCGCTTTTAACCCTGCCGCCAACAACCAGGGCGAGTTCATTACTTACACAGTCGAATGGACCCAAGACCAAGTTACCTGGTCTGTTGGAAACAGTGTGGTTCGAGTTCTGACACCTGCCACTGCCGATACGAACCAATACCCACAATCGCCTATGAGAGTCAAATTCGGGGCTTGGGCTGGTGGTGATTCTTCAAATCCTGCAGGAACAATCCAATGGGCTCGTGGTCCAACGGATTATACCAAAGGACCATTCACGATGACCGTCCAATCTCTTGCTGTCACTGACTACTCAACCGGCACGCAATACAAATATGGCGACACAACTGGCGATTGGGGATCTATTCAAGCTGTTGGGGGCAAGGTCAATGGAAATTCGGGATCGGCAGCAACTGCAGTAGCATCAGCTGATGTTCCTGCTGTCACATCTGCTTCTCCTTCAATCCCTGCTGGTGGAATTGGGGGAAACAGCCACACTGATACTGCTTCACAAACGGGATGGCCATGGGTTGCAGCTACAACTCTTTCCACAGCTGTTGCTGCCACCTCCGCTCCTGGAGTCCCGGCTGGCTGGGTCATCACCTCGTCTGGAAAATTAGTGCCTGCAAGTTCTGCAGCAGTGAGTGCGCCGCCCCAATCCCGGCATGTTTATCTTTCAGCTCAATTTATACTAACTCTTTATAGGTATTAGCAGCATCAACCCTTTCCTCTTCAGCGGACCAGTCATCATCGCCATCCTCGCCCTCATCGGGCGTTATCCTTGAGACTGGCTGGGATGATCGCGGATTTGCAACTACAAGAACAATTGTCTCGGGAGGAGCTACCAAGAGCTATGATCAACAAGGCTTCCTGATCACCTCTACACCAGCAATGACAAGCACAATGGCAAGTACACCAGCGACGGCGGCTGCCGCTTCGACCACGGCTGGTGGGGTGTGCTTCGGGACGAATTGTGGTCCTAAGAACAAGATTGTGGGCACAAGTACTTCAAAAGCGGCAGGTGCAAGACAAACTTCTGCATGGGGTAGTATGGCGGTTCTCGGAATTGCTGCTGCTGTTGTAGAGAGACTACTGCTTTAAAGGAAGACTACATGGTCATGTGCTCACGATTCTTATGTTGGATTCGGACGGAGTTTGGAATTGGAGTAAAATGGGCCTTTGTGGAACGGGATGGGACAACCGAGAAGGAATGATAATGATTACATGATATAATACCATAGCTAATACCCCCCAAGCGGCACAGCCGTTGAATGCAAGAACATATTTATATTCCTCTCTTTTTGTTGGCTTTTAATTGTCTTGCTTTGAATTTGTAAGCAGGTGTTTTTTTTTCTGTTTCTCTTTGGAGGGCTACCTCTTTTTAGAGCAAAAGAAAAGGGCTTGCTTAATGGTGTAATTCTTTCTTTTGGTTAACGTCAAGCTCATTAATTTGCCTCTCATGCTTCCATGATGTATCTTTCGTTTGTGTGTGATACCAGACAGCAAAGGAGTTATGATACCCCTATTAGATGTCTGGAGAAAAAGGGGGCTAAAGTTCTGCTAAGCGAGGCAGCTTGGAATTTCCTCCCCAGTCCAGTTCTCTCTTCACAATCAAGCAAAAGGTAGCGTAAAATTAATTCTCGGCAATGATGTTATATATTTTTCTTCTGCTTTCCGGTTCAGTACATTTGTTTGTCCAGTTAATAACTTCTTTGTACCAGTTTCAAAATCCACACCGGTTGCGGACGAAAATCATATTCAGCGAACCCCGACAAAGAGATGGACTATATGAACTAGTACCAAAACCCTCTGTATTATATTATCCTTCCCAATCCCAATCCCAAGAAATTTTAAAGCTAGAGGCAGAACGAAACGTATAGTCAACATGAATGATTTTGTTTTTCCGGATTTCGACTACCCGGCTCGCCAAGCTGAACTCTTGAGGGATAAACTAAGGGCATCTCAGAGAGAATACGTCAACGCTCGAAGAGATGATCTGGGTGACAAGTTAAGACGTGAATTGAGCGTCGATGCCGCACAGCTTCTTGGAATAGCCCAGATTGGGGCTGGCTGGCTGCCTTCTATAGACAACCGCATGACTACCGGTACGCCCGTGAATCCTGCGCCAAAGGACTCTGTTTTGGATGAGATTTTTAGGATTGTCAGGCATAGACTTCCCGAAGATGTTGTAAGGGCTGCGGAACAGGATAGCCGGGACCCTGATTGGGTCAACAGCGAGCATTACGGTGGAATTCGTCAAGTAAGTCACCCTGTGGAGTATAGGTATCCGAAGTGCATGCATGTTAAACGTTTGTTCTGTCTATAGGATCGACCCAATTATGGCGACGGCCAAGATCCAAACCACCCCGAATACCGTCTTTGGTATCTGAAACAGCTGGCACTAGACGACACAAGTACAATCGACGATGCCAACAACGAGACCCGGGAGAAACTGCGCTACGCCTATGAATTCCACGCTCACCTCTTCCAACTGAAGCGCTTCGCAGACAAGCGAAACGCCGAGACGAGCGTCGAGCCCCTGCCCGACGGCACGAACCTGATGGATGCCAGTCTGCGGATATCGTGGGTTCTGTATCGAGCTTTTGTCCGCGCGTTGCACTACCGTAGTCTGAGGCGTGGGCGAGAGAATTTCGGGGTTTCTCAGCTGCGGGATATTACTACGCTTGCGCTATTGTTGCATTATGTCGAGGTTGATCATATCAGCCAGGATAGTCGTGTCATTCCGGATTATTTCGAGCCTATTGTCAATACGTTCGATGCGTTGCAGGAAAGGTTGCAAGCTATCGCCGACTGGTTGTTTACTGAGGAGCGTCCAACGGCTGATCCACCATGGACACTTTATGAGACGATAGAAAACAAGTTTTTGAAGGCTGGCGAGTTCCGGAGGGTCATCGATCAGGTAAAGTGAAATCCCCTGACATGGCGTCTTTGATTGAAAGGCCTATTCAGATGATTAATGTCTCGAGATGTGTTGGGATTAACTGACTATCACGTAGATTCTCATGGGGGGCCCCAAAACTACGACTGGTCATTCTGGTGTCTCCTCTTCGAAAAAGCCGAGAAATGCGAAGCGCAACACGCAGTCGAGCACGTAGAAGACATCCTGATTGACAAACGCGTGGTAATCGAAGATGAAGAATGGCACGTCTACGAAACGCTCATCCAGCACGGCGTCTCCTACAACATACGAGACATGCAAGACCTTGAGCTCCCCTCCCAAGAAGCCATCACTCCCCGTCTGCAAAAGATCGGGCAGATCAACCGCCTGCGCCGCAACCACCAGCTGCTGAAGGACTGGAACCACAAGCGTCCCTACTACCAGCTCTACTACATCTTCGACACCAGCGACAACGGCCGGTACAGTCACTACCGCCAAAACATCGCCGCCTGGTACGCGCACCGCGACACCCTGGCATCTCGCCCCCAGCCCGGCGTGCACGACAACTCCCCCAGCCGCATCGAGAACATCTGGGCCGGCATGTTCCCGCTGCACCCCGTCGCGACGCACAGCGCAGCCGACATGTCCAAACCACAGCCTGAACTGCTAAACTACGACACAGGCTGCATCATCTGCATGGACGAATACGTGGGCTGCGAGACCATCGCGCGCCTGCACTGCGGACACCTGTTCCACCTAGCGTGCATCCGGTCGAGCTGGGACAACGACCGACGGTACAAGAACGACTGTCCGCTGTGCCGAAAAGACTGGCAGCTCTCAGAAATCGCGGGGATTGAGCCCGAGGTACGGGATGTGTGGGACAACGAGCGGCTGCTCACGGTGCAGGAGGCGAGTACGCAGCGGGATATCGGGGAGCTGTATCGGCGGCTGGAGGATGATACGCTTGAGGAGAGCGAGGATTGGACACGGCTATCTGGTATATATGACCCGAGAAATGCGTTGGTGGAGTTAGCACATGTGAGGAGGAAGCGCAAGGCGAGGAATGTGGCGAGGAGGAGGGATATTAGGCTTGCGGAATTGGGGATACAGGTGCCGGACTGATGTATTGTGATGCTTAAGCATTACATTACTATCACTATCATGGAGCAATTTAGGGGCTGCATTGTTATCCTGTGTTTTCACGATTTTAGTAGTAGTTATAACAGACTACGAGTGGGTATCTATGTAATAGCAAAGGCTGGAGCTCCAAAGCTCGAAGAAGCGGGGCACAGATAGCTCCAGCCAATGAATAGGCACATATTTACCATGACCAATCATATTGTCTTCTTGCAAAACCGCCACGTGAGGGGAAGGAGCCTCGGAATAAGTACAGGTGAAAATCTTCAGCCTCGCCGTAAACCCTTGAATAATCAACCCCGAGTCATTTGCCAGACATCTATAGAAGTATGGAGATAGTGCAAAAAAGCCGCATTTGTCAGTACAGTCCAGATGTTCGATTATGAAATCCCACCTTACGATTACATTACTCAGATAGCATGTGATTGGCGGATATACTGGTCGGCGACCCGCAATGGTCCGTTTCCACAGATACCCTTCAAATGTGAACCCGAAAAATAATCTTCAGCCCGGACCCTTACACTTGACTCAAAATAACACTATCTCCTTTCTCCCACTTTACTCTTTTCATTCCAAGAAACCTTCAAGATCTTCCTTGACAAAGTTCCTCAAAACACGCCACTTTGTCAAGCCGACACTCTTTCTCTGATCTGATATCAAGTTCCATAATGGCCACCACAGCTACTCGCACCTTCGCCCGAGCGGCCTTCCGATCTACACCCGCCACATCGGCTTTCAAGACTTCTTCCCGCAAGACAGCTTTCTCTCTTCCCCGCCAGACATTCCGCCAGCAATCCCGGCGCGGATATGCCTCTGAACCAGCAGCCAAATCTTCATCCACCGGCCTGATCCTTGGGGTCGGAGCTCTTGCAATTGCAGGCGGCGCCGGTTACTACTATTACTCGCAAGGCAACGGCTCTATCTTCTCTGGATCTGCCAGTGAAACCACGGGTGTCTTTGTACCAAAGCAGGAGGACTACCAGAAGGTGTATAATGAGATTGCGGCGCTGTTGCAAGATAAGGACGACTACGATGATGGGAGCTATGGCCCGGTCTTGGTGAGATTGGCGTGGCATGCGTCAGGGACGTATGATAAGGAGACGGGTACTGGTGGCAGTAACGGAGCCACAATGCGCTTTCAACCGGAGGGTGACCATGGTGCCAATGCTGGTTTAGTCACTGCGCGAGACTTCCTGGCGCCGGTTAAGGGTAGGTCTACTCACCTGGAAATTGAGACCGAGTTGTGCTGATGATATGAATAGCCAAGTTCCCTTGGATCACCTACTCCGATCTCTGGATCCTCGCTGGTATTTGCGCCATCCAAGAAATGCAAGGCCCCACCATCCCATACAGACCTGGCCGCATGGATAAGGACATTGCAGCTTGCACACCCGATGGACGTCTCCCAGATGCTTCGCAAGGAAACAAGCATCTGCGTGGTATCTTTGGCCGTATGGGATTCAACGACCAGGAGATTGTTGCCCTATCTGGAGCACACGCCTTGGGTCGTTGCCACACTGACCGCAGCGGTTTCGATGGTCCATGGACTTTCTCCCCAACCGTTGTGACCAACGAATACTACAAGCTCCTTTTGAACGAGAAGTGGAACTGGAAGAAGTGGAATGGTCCTAAGCAGGTATGTGAAAAAGCTGACAGAAATATGAGGTGTCACTAACACTCAATAGTACGAAGACAAGACCTCCAAGACCCTAATGATGCTTCCTACCGACATGGCGCTCGTTTCTGACAAGGCTTTCAAGCAATGGGTCGAAAAATATGCCAAGGACGAGGGACTCTTCTTCAAGGATTTCGCAGCCGTTATCACCAAGCTTTTCGAACTCGGTGTTCCTTTCGATGAGACTACTCAACAGACCCCAATGACCCTCAAGCCAACCGCAAACTAAAGAACGAGCGATAGATACCCGAGACAAGACATAGAAGATTAGAAGAGATTGATGAGTAGATGGTTTGATACGAAGTTTTCGAGATGAGATTGCGAGACGTACAGGATAGATTGGGTATATATTATAGATTTGCTTTCTCCTTGTTGGTTTATTTGTTGGATGTCCGGAACTCCTTGAGCCAAGGGAGGATTTCCTAGATGTAAGAATATAATCCATAGCGAACTTTGAATACAATCAATAAAGACAGCTTGGCTCCTGGTGCTCTAATCTTTGGACATTTCAACAGTTATCGTAATCGTGTGAAGGGGGGAAGGAAGAAGCGCAGAGACGTCAAAATAGATGTTGAAGTCGTTGTGTCAGTGGAAAAATCCGGGGTTCCCCGCACTGATGTTAACCTTGGCTTGGTCACCACGTGGTCCATGTCACTTCTATTTACCTAGGTACTGTTGGTACACTACATCCACGCTTCCGAGTTCGGAACAAACTCATGAAATCATTCCAAGTCTCCTTACCTTGACCTTCAGATCAAAGCGAAACAACCTGCACCTGAAAATAAAAAAGTAAACAAGATAAGAGACCAAAACGAACCATGCTCCCCAACCCATCCGGCTCTCCCTACGGTCCTACTTTAGGACCACCAAACCTATATCCAGGAGAAACAGCAAAATTCCGTCCTACCGTATGTCCCATTTTCCTATCCCTCTTTTCCCTCCCCCAATTCCAATTCCATTTTCTCCCACCCCCCCCCCCCCCAACTTCATAAGAATCTCATTCTCTAACAAGAAATCAAACTATCCCAGAATAAAGCAGATTTCAGCACCCCGCTAAAAGAAAACAACATGGACACCCCAGCCCACAAAGAACTATACGACCAAGGCTACGAGATGCGAAAGAAAGTCGTCGGAGAAGAATACGTAGCTGCGTCGCTTGAAAAGGCAAGTAGTGATTTCCTGAGACCATTACAGCAATACGCTACAGTAAGTCGAATCCATGTTCCCCTCTCTACCTATCCTCCCAATTTCATTTCATTCTACCATTAGTTAAATAGCTCGAGTTTGGTTTTCAATTTAGCGTATTAAGGATTATGTTGATCAATTGATGTCTACTGCCGATAATAGGAAGCAGCCTGGGGCACAATCTGGACCCGTCCGGGGTTGGAGCTGAAGACTAGGTCGTTCTTGAATCTGGGCATGCTTACGGCGTTGGGGAAGTGGACTGAGTTGGGGACGCATGTTAGGGGCGCGGTGAGGAATGGGGCGAGCGAGCTGGAGATTCGGGAGTGTTTGTTGCAAGCTACGTACGTATGCTCCGATTTTCTTTCCTCCTACTTTCCTTCTACTTTCCTTTTGCTCTACTCTAATTTTATGGAAGGGCTTTGAGCGGTTGGGGGAGGAAGTGTAGTGGTAGGCAAAAGCATGGATGAATGAATTCTAATGAGAAATATAGAGCTTATTGCGGTATGCCTGCCGGTATGGAGGCGTTTAGAACTGCGGATCGGGTGCTGGCCGAGATGGAGGCGAAAGGGGAGTTTGTAAGGGAGAAGTAGGGGAGGATGGAAAGGATGAAGACGTGATTCATAGCAGTGAAAAAAAAGCTTCCTATCATAGGTAGTTGCAGCTAAATAGTCGAAAATTACATTGCATGGAAACCTTTTTAAAGAAGAGAGAAGTGAAGTGAAGTGCAGCAAAAGTAGCAGAAAATTAAGACTGAGGTGTTCATGAAAAACTCAAGGTAAGTCTCATATTTGATGTCGATTATCGCCCACCCGAGCAAACCCTCAGTACAGCCCACGCCATCTGGCGCTCTCTCTATAGCCTGCTGAAACCCATAAGTATCCCCGGTAAAGTAATGCAACTATCCCAGCGTATACGCCGAATGGTGCTAGTACTAAGTACCAGACTCCCACTGGTAGTGTTTCGGGATGGTTCTCGAGGGGAACTCTTCATCCGTAAAAATGTGATTGGGAAGTTGTTATGAGGGAAATGGATTTCAGTTGATTGGGGAGCATTACAGGCGTCTGTTTTTATGGAATCGGATAGTAGTACACGCCCACATTAAGATCTCCAAAAGCTGAAGTCTCACCACTTGAATCCCCTAAGCAAGGAATGTGCACAATGCCGACTGTGAGCTTACTTCCAGTCCACTTGAAGACGGCATTTCCATCATTGCAAACCAGGGTTGCTGAAGCATCGACTTAGCGCTAGCTGACTAAGCAATGGGGATAACCTCTTCGCATTGCAACTACCACTGTAGCTAGCTAACCAGAACCAATAAAACCACCAGTACTATAACCTAGGGACCTACACGTGTAGTGAAGCGATCACCTTGTGAAACCAACACTATATAAAGCTGTTCAATACCGGCAACGATGGGTGTCCCCTATTCCAGAGAGATCAACTTGGCATTGGAAAGAACCAAGAGAATCACCTACCTACTTGCCGTTTTCCAAGGAGTTACCGCCTTTTGCCTTGTGCTTATTATAATCACGATCCTTGCGCTAATCATTACTGTGAGCCCTGATCTTGAAAACGAACGGAGAATCTTGGTTACGCCTGTGATGAAATGGATCGTGCAGTATGGAAGATCCATGCTGGTGGGCTTATTGGTTGTTATTATCGGGGCAATTCTAGGCGTAGCTGGAGGGCAGGTGTGCTTTTGGGTTGCTATTATCGGGGCAGTTCTAAGCACAGCTGGAGGCTGGTTTTTACAGAGAGAAGGTCGGTTGAATTTGAGGTGGTGGACGCGGAAGGGGAGATGAAGACAGCCGATGATGTTGCCTTTTAAGAGGATCAAATTGTTGGGATCGAGAAGACTACAAGTATGTTTCTCCGAGGCCATGTCGCACCCAAGGCTCCGATGTGCGTGCATTGGGTAGTGGATGTGGAGTTGGCGTTGCTGGCGAATCTGAAGCCGACGACAGGGAAGTGGATGTTGCCAGAGGCGGGAGCGAAGGTAAAGAAGCCGTTGATGGTGAAGCCGGCGGTCTAGGCGCATGCGGTGGCGTTGGTTGGCAGAGCGGATGTGAGGGCCGAGAAGGTTGAGAGCCAGAATGAGAATTTTAAAGATGGACATGGTTACTGATAGCTTCTTGGGGTTTGAGAAGTTGGAACTTAGAAGAGTGGTGTTTGAATTGGAGAACTTGGACGTGGGTTTTGATGTTGAGGAAGACTAGAAGATATATTGAAGCTTTGATGTAGAGCAATGCTTGTTCACTTAAACCAGCTTATCCACTTGAAACCCCTCCTATTATCATAGAATTTGTATGCATGCATAGGTAGGGGAAGCGAGTGTTGGGACCAAAGTTTTCTAGGTTCGACCAAAATCGAAGGTAATACAGCCAGTACTCACAGAAGAACAGGGTATTTTCCCGTTAGCACTGTGCAATGCAACACAACTGAATAAGATAACACTCATATTGAAAGGAATGGGAATATTTAAGAGTCGGAGATAGAGCCTCGCAGATGAGAAACAGCGCGATAGACGTAATAAAATTGGAGGACGCAGGTAAGAAGAGTTCATTGAATTCACATTTAAAAAGGAAGGATATATTACTGCACATGCATTCTCCTGCGTACAACATGGCACTTTACAAATACGCAGTGGATGGATCAGTCACAGCTAGATTGACTGCACGACGAGACATGGAGACTACCCGTATGTATGACGAAAACAGAAGACTGCCAAACACGAGAGGAAGAGAAGGAAGCGAAACAATAATATGAAGACGCCAAAATTAGCAAAGTGCAGGTACAGCACCAGTGGCGGTAGCTAGATATTCCGCATAAAGTACTATAGGCGAAAGGCGAGAAGTTCTTCGTTACTCGTAGTAGATACAATTTATGAATACTTTAGCTCGACACGGAAATGTTACACATATAGACAATTGAGAAGCCAGGAGGGCTCCAATCTTCTCGAGCAAGCTGTTTTCCCTTGATAGTAAAGAAAATCGTTGTCGTTCCAATCCGCCCCTTCCGCCCCGCTCCGCTCCCCGCTACTCGAGTAGTGCTGGCCCTAAATCCAGTAGCTCCATCACATGACCACACAATCGGTTCGCAAACCCACCGGCATCAAAAATCCGACCTCGAACTTTTCCTCCCCCTCCCACGACCATCGACAACATCTTCGACAAAAATCAAGATGGCACCAACAGCACCCAAGGAGCGTAGCGGCCTGATCGTCGGCCTCAACAAGGGACACGTACGTTCACAAGCCCGTCTCACCTCTTGGAGGATCTTCTCTTTCCCATTGAAGATGGACTCAACGGGCTAACTTTTATCTTTTTCGAAATGTGTAGAAAACCGAGGCGCGAGTCGTCAAGCCCAGAGTCAGCCGGACCAAGGGACACCTCAGCAAGAAGACTGAGTTCGTGAGGGAGATTGTCAAGGAGGTTTCTGGGTACGTCGCCGTGTTTTCTTTTCTTCCCTCGAGAAGGAAGTTTTGGATTTGATTGGATCGGGCTAATTGGAATGATTTCAGACTCGCACCATACGAGCGTCGTGTCATCGAACTCCTCCGCAACAGCAAGGATAAGCGTGCGCGTAAGCTCGCGAAGAAGAGGGTATGTTCTATTTCATCCTTTCCTATTCCCTGTCGCAATTACAAATAAAGCGGTCTCTGACGTTTAATATAGCTCGGTACTTTCGGTCGTGCCAAGGCGAAGGTTGATGAGCTACAGCGTGTCATTGCCGATTCCAGACGGGCTGGCCACTAGATTTCCTTGCATTCGATGATACCTAACGTTGTCGCATGAATGGGAATGGAGTTGTGATTGATATATTTGAAAAGCAAATGGACCGTGGATGGATGCTTGGCTTCATATGAAGATGGCTAGCTAGATCAGCATGGGGATTCAGAGGCAATGAAACAACTTCGCAAACATTTTTTACAATCGGATGCGATTACGTGACTTGCTCTTGAATTGTTCGGGGATAGAATACTTCAGCAAAAAGGAAAGATTGTTGGCCTTGGAAGCAAATGGCTTCTTCATCTAGGCACTTCAAGCGACAACGTCCATTGAAAAACTTCATACCATTGCTTATGGTCCTGAATCTTCGGAACAGCAACTGCTGGATCTGACTATCTACTACAAGACGAACCCCTCCCTCAAAACTCCTCGCTATGCCCTCTCTTAAAGATGCTCATCAAAACCCCGTCCGTAGAACATCATCCAATAGTCATAACATCATCTATCACCAAAGCTATACGCTCACGTAACTCATTTCTTCTGGAGTCCCTTTGCAAGCCATTTCGGCATAGCACCTTTCAACTTCGGACCCGCACCACCACCCGAATTCTCCTTCTCCTTGCCTTTCTCTGAAGCAGAGGGACCAGCTTCCTCCTGTGACACACTAGCAACGACAGGAACAGGAAGAGTTTCTGCCTTCCTTGCATATTGCGGCTTCAGAGTCGAACCCTTTCTCGAAGCATCACTCGCAGCATCCTCCCAAACAAAATTAACCAGAACACTGCCCTCAAATCCAAGGTCCTTAATCAGCTTCTTCTGGCTTCTTGGAACAGTCTGTACCCCCCTATCATTGTAGACAAGCTTAAATGGCTGATCCTCGGCTACAATGACGCCCGTAACACTATTATACAGATCATCACCCGTGTCCGTTGCAGTGAACTGAGAAACAACGCTCGATTGGTCGGGGAAGCGGACTTTGATATTGACTTCTTTCATCTTCGCTAGTTTTGCGGCTTTCTCCTGCTCTGCCTGCTCGGTTTCTGCGTCTGATAGGAGCTTTTGGTTGCGAGATCTGTTTAGAAGGTTTTGTTGGTGTGCTTTGGCGTGGTGAATAGTCGCTTCAAAGTCTCCTTCGTTATACGGCAATAGTGCAGCTTTAGGTGTATCGGAAGAGGGAGGAGAGAAGATAGAGATTGGGCGCTGGTTGGGACCAAGAATTTTCTCCTCTTGCTTTGGCTCTGGGGTGGCCTCTGGCGCAGGTCGCTTCGATGGTGTGATGGGTGCATTCTGAAGTAGCTCGGGTTGCTCAACTGAAGGCATGGCTACGTCTCCACTAGGTGTAGATTCTCGTGAAGACATTCTAGAGATACCCTCCGTGATGCTGTCCACCTCTTGCAAAGGACTAGCTTCTACGCCATTCATCTCCGAACCAGTAGGCGTCTCTTCTTCCCTAAAGTATTGCTGAATTTCCGTCATAGCTTCTTGAAGAGGCTGTTCTGTCTTCTTAAAATTCATCCTGATAAGACAGCTCCCACTGTTGAATCCCAACTGCGCCAGTGTCTTTTGCAGGTCTCCAAAAGTTGCCAACTCACGCCCCATGACATTCAGGACAGGCATCTCGTAAACAATTGTTCCAGCCCCCGTAGCACCATTCTCCAGATGTGTTACTCCTCGGGCCGTAAAGTTCAAGTTCGTGCCCTCAGTTGACTCGAATTTCCGTAGAATACGCCATAATGTTGTATCGCTGGGGACTTTGTCCGTCAGTCGGCCACTTGGAACCCCCCCTGCTATAGCTTCTGGTATTTGGAGGGCGACAGAGACGGCGGAGGGAGTTCGTGACGCAACGACGAGCTCCAGCCTTGCGCCGGTTGGGAGGCCTGTTTGCCGAAACGTTCTTGACAGATCTACGGGCTTGTTGACGTGCCTGCATATTATTAGGTATGTTCCAAGCTGTAAAATTGGGGAGGACTTACTTGAGACCGTAGTTGCTAGACCTAATGCCAAATTTTTTACATGCTTCCTCCAGAATATCCGTCATGTATTTTCCAGGAGTGACTTTGATGTTATGCCTTCTGAAGGAGGTATCGATAACCACCACATGCGACGACGACATGATGAGGACTGGGGACTGTTGAATTGCTGCTGTTGTTCGTTCTGGATGCAAATCGAAGTTATATAGAGGAATAATGCTTTGACTTCAACTTTACAATGAAGTTGACTTCTGCCTTCTCTTGACTTCGATGTTTGTCATTCAAAGAAGCGTGGCGGGGTGGAAACAGTTATAGTCAGGTTGCCGGCGCAGCTTTCCAAAGAATCAAACAGCAATCGCTTTCGCTCTCGAGGGAATGGGTATCAAAGAGGAAATAGAACTCTGCGAGAAGACAAAAGTATAATCCAGAGAAGAAGTGAATCAATCGTTGCAGTGCAGTGTGAAAGTTGAAATCGCTCAGCATTCGGTGCCTGAGATACAGTAACATAATCATGGTGGTCCAAGCTTTTCGAGCTTCCTCTGCGGACGCGACAGCCGTGTCTACCTTGCAGCACTGTAAGTGCTTGTACACTGTGAATTATCAACTCTATATTTTCGCAACACAACCACCTCAGGAGCTCTTGAAATACCCGGAGAGCTTTCCTACACTCGATAACCCCCTTGAGAGATACCCAAAAGCCAAAATAATCCCCTCAAAATGGTAAGCCAGCCTCAATCAAACCCAACAGCCAGCAAGTCAATAGCTAACCCATCAACCTCGCAGAGCTCCCCCTTCTCAATCAGTACCTCTCCCCTCCCACCTCCCATACCTACGATATATCTAACCCCTTCCCTCAGACGGTGGTGCCTGCGTAGCAATGGTAGGCAAAGACTGCGTCGCCATAGCCTGCGATCTCCGCCTGGGTCTCCAATCCATGACCGTCTCCAACAACTTCCCCAAGATCTTCTCCTACGGCGACGTCTACCTAGGTCTCACTGGCCTCGCCACCGACGTCTCGACCGTCTCGGATCTCTTCCGCTACAAAGTCAACATGTACCGGCTGCGCGAGGAACGCAACATCTCGCCCTCCACCATGGCGAACCTGGTCAGCTCTAGCCTGTACGAGAAGCGCTTCGGCCCTTATTTCGTTAGTCCGGTCGTTGCGGGCATCGATCAGAAGAGTGGGAAGCCGTTTATTTGTGGATTTGATAGTATTGGGTGCATTGATTTCGCGAAGGATTTTATTGTCAGTGGGACGGCGAGTGATCAGTTGTTTGGTACTTGTGAGGGGCTTTGGGAGCCGGATTTGGTATGCATCTATGGTTGGGCTGTGTTTTGAAAGGGGGTGTGCTAATAAGGACATTTGCAGGCGCCAGAGGACCTCTTCGAGACTATTTCGCAGGCGTTGTTGAATGCGGTGGACAGAGATGCGTTGTCAGGTTGGGGTGCACACGTCTATATCATCGAGAAGGACAAGGTTACGAAGCGGTTATTGAAGGGCAGACAAGATTAAGGGAAGGGGATTGAAGACGATTGGGTGATGATTCAGGGTTGGGAGGGTTGGGCTTGAGGGAAAGAGGCTCGTCCTGTGTAGCATTAGATCTGGCATAGAACTTTACGACAAATGGACATGGCATGAAAACTATCCACTTAAACCGAAGTATTGCGAGGTTGAAGTTTGGCGTAATCTCTAGGGTATAATGAAAGCAGTATTTGAAGAGTTGACATGATCTATGGCAAAGTGCTGATCTGAGTAGCTATTTGTTGGGACAATTGTTATATAGCAGCACAGTCAATGGCCTTGCTACATCTAACGGAAACGGTATATGTGGCAAGTAGTATCGCAGTAATTCATCAATACATTTATATCGTTCTATATCTACTGTCTACTAATATGTACAGCTTCCTGTTATCTAACCATTTCCCAAGACTATTCGCTCTTAGTTCTGGGTTCAATAACATTTGTCTTCTGGATGAAGAGCTGTCTTTCAACAAACTTCAGACCTTCGTCAATGAGACTATAAGACACACATTAGCATAGGTTTACAAGTCAGATGATCGGGGACAGGGAGACTTACATGACAGGTGCACTGATCACCAAAACCGCCTGCCACTCATTCCAGTTCAGTGGGAGAATGGAGAAGAGCATTTGCAAGATAGGGGTGTAGAGCAGAGCGAAGTGCAGGGCCATCGACAAGGTAATAGCATAGACGAGCATCATGTTCTCCCAGAGAGGGAGCGTAAGAAGTGACTCGCTAGACGAAAGAGCATTCATGGCGTTAAGCATCTCAATGACAACTAGGATCGACAACGAGACGGTGGAAGCTGACTTGGCCATATCGTCCGAGAACATCTGGCAGCCGATCTCTGGGAACTGAGCAGAGCACTTGTGGAAGTGAGTGAGTTGCCAGAAGTTGATCTGGGGTCCCTCGGCATTGTACATGAACCACCAGGCGTAGCCAGCGACTGTCGCCAGACCGACGTAGATACCGATGACCATGTAGCGGAAAAAGAGCCAGCCACCGATAAGACGCTCATCGCGCTTTCTTGGTTGTCTTCTCATGACATCGTGGTCAGGGGGGTTGAATGACAATGCAGTGGCTGGGAGACCATCTGTGACGAGGTTGACCCAGAGGAGTTGAACGGGGATGAGAGCTTCGGGCATACCGATCGCGGCTGTCAAGAAGATAGAAACGACCTCGCCGATGTTTGAAGAGATCAAATATCTGATGAACTGCTGGGTGTTGTTGTAGATTGAGCGACCTTCTTCAATGGCAACCTCAATCGTAGCGAAGTTGTTGTCAGTGAGGACCATGTCAGAAGCCAGCTTTGAAACATCGGTCCCAGAACCCATGGCAACACCAATATCGGCCTTCTTGAGAGCAGGAGCATCGTTTACACCATCACCAGTCATAGCAACAACCTCGCCCATCTGTTGGAGCAGGTCAACGAGCTTTGACTTGTGGCTTGGCTCAACACGAGAGAAGAGAGAGGCGGTCTTTGCGGCTTCAAGTTGTTGGAAATCGCTGAGGTTGTCGAACTCTCTTCCCGTGTAACTTTTACCTCTTAGATCTTCATCTTGACCAAATACACCAATTTGTCGACAGATAGTCTCGGCGGTGTTGCGGTTGTCACCAGTGATAACAATAACTCGGATGCCAGCTTCCTTACATTTGCGGATAGCCCCGGCAACCTCAGGACGTGGGGGATCTTCCATGCCAACAAGACCCAGTAGAGTAAGGTTTTGCTCGAGATTCAAGTAATCTTCAGTAGATTTTGCGTTCTTTAAAGCCGGGTTGGAAGTAACATCGTCGAGGCTGGCAAGAGCAATCACACGGAGACCTCTGTTGCCATAGTCTACAACCTCCTTCAACAGGGTATCAGAAAGGCTTTTGGACATGGGGATCTTTTTGCCGTTCGCTCCAACCAATGTGTGGGTGCAGCGGTCAATAATAGCTTCGGGGGCTCCTTTAACGAGTAGTCTTTGCTGAGTCTTGCTTCCAACGAGAACTGACATGCTCTTCCTGTCCCTGGAAAATTCGTAGGTCGCGAGACGGGGGCTTCTATTTTCGTACCAAGAGCTAGCAAGATGCAGACAATCTTCAGCAGCACGACCGGCTCTCGCCTTGTTTTGTGCGTTATCGTTAGTGCCAATCTTCTCCACGAGAACGCGAAGAGCTCCTTCAGTTGGTTCACCAACGTTAGAGTACTGTCCAGTTTTTGAGTCCAAAGCCAATTGAGCATCGTTGCAAAGTGCAGCGACCTCCATCATTTGAAAAATTGTGCTTGACTTTCCAGCCGCACCCGTGACCTCTTTGCCGTTAGACGTGATCTTTCCAGTTGGGGCGAAGGTTGTGCCCTCAACACCGAGCTCTTCCAAATCATTTCCAGCCTCGTTGAGGTATACAACTTTGCTGACACTCATCTGGTTCGTGGTCAAAGTACCGGTCTTGTCAGAGCAAATTACGCTGCAGCTACCAAGGGTTTCGACAGAAGGCAAGCTTCGTACAACTGCGTTCTTTGCTGCCATTTTTCGTGTACCGAGAGCAAGACATGTTGTGATGACTACAGCCAGACCTTCTGGAATAGCGGCAACACCGAGAGAAACGGCAATCTTGAGGTAATATATAGCTCCCTTTGCCCAGCCTCCGTGGGACGGATCGTTGAAGTGAGGGATATTGATGAGCCAGACTGCAATACAGATGAGTGAAATAACTTTAGCCAACGTGTCACCAAAATCGTTGAGCTTTTGCTTCAAAGGTGTTGGCTCAGAGATTTGTGCTACAATACTCTCGTGAATATCACCAATAGCGGTAGATGAACCAGTCAGAACCACAATTGCAGTAGCATGCCCCGTAACGACCGTGGTTCCTGAGAAAAGGGTGTTGATCTGATCTTGCTTCACGGCTTGCAAATCCTTCACCACGTCTGTATCCTTTCCAACACTCTCGCTTTCTCCCGTGAGAATAGCCTGGTCAACTGCGAAACTGTTGCTCTGAATAGCCAGGACCCTGCAATCTGCAGGGATTCTGTCTCCCACAGAGATCGAAATGACGTCTCCAGGAACCAATTCTTCAGCCTTAACCCTTGTAACATGGCCATTTCGGACAACCTTGGCTTCGTTTGCTGAGTATTCTTGTAAAGCTGCGATCGCCTTCTCTGCGCTGCTCTCCTGAGAGACACCAACGACGGCGTTAAGGATCAAGATTGTGAGAATCTGCGAACAATGATCAGTAAAAGTTCGAAGTTTTAGGCTGGGTGCACATACAACTGCGGGATCAACAAAGGCTGCCCAGCCACCATCTTCCTCGAACAGAGCGAGGACAAAAGAGATTGCGGCGGATCCGAGAAGGATGACTACAAGCTGGTCCTTGAATTGCTCGAGAATGAGCTTCCAGATTGGAGTAGGAGGGTCTTCTGCGATGGCTGGGAGAGTTTTAGATATTGATCTATTAGGCGCGGCGCAAAGTGGATTTTGACTTACCATTGCGGCCATATTTCTCTCTTGAAGCTTCAACTTGCGCGTTGGTGAGACCTTGTGTCTCTGATACTGAGAAGTGCTTCAAGACCTTGGAGGTCGTTTGGGCGAATGCGTTTTCCATGTTGTGGTGGTGGGGGAGTGGGAAACCAAATTTTGTACCGTTGGTACCAACTTATTTTGGATTGATCATGTAACCTGATAACTCTTCCAAATGAAGGTCGCAAGAGTAGTGACAACTATATGAAGAAACCCAAAACTCACCAGGCAGCCAAAGGAACGTGGAGTTGATATCGTCGTTGCTTGGTCAGAAAATTCTAGAGCTCGAAGGCAAAGTACACTCTGTCCTCAAGCCAAGCTAGCCTTGCCGGCCACGGTTCCACAAGCGTCAAACCTACCTAGGCAGGTACCGTTTGAGAGTGGGATAATTCTTTTTCTCTATGAAAGATTGTTGGAAATACTGTTATTTTTGTTATTTTTGTGATGGCTGGTCCCTTTGAAATATCTCCAAGGTAAGGGTTCTCGTACTAATAATGTATTGTTTCTCGGTTGTACAGTATTTCAATGTTAGTACCGGTATATTATCCATTTCGGATCACTTATTCTTTTCAAACAGCCAACCATAACATGAGGCAAATAGCCTTAAGCTCAAAGGAGAATAATTCTTTGAGCTTATCACTTGAAGATATACATCTATTAAACATAACAAATAAATTACTGGCCCTAATTCCAGATCTACCCGGCCTTCTATAAGTTAGGGTGAGGGTCTTCTTAAATATACCCTAGTAAAGAATAACCCATTACGAAGTAGTCTACACACACCCAACCAATCAACTCACTTATTTATTATCCTGCAGATAATAGGACTCGATTACTTCAAGAATGATCCCGGTGTTTTTGCTGCTCTTGTCATCACATATATCACCGCCTTAGAGGCCCAAAGATGGGATAGTCCCGATAATCAAACAGTGTGCTGTTGCATCGAAAGCTGCAAATGCTGTCTGAGTCAAACATTGCCTTGTAGTGATACACAAGCACTGATAATAGGTTCCAAGAACTCTTAAAAAAAGGTGATTAGGGTTTACAATTGAGAAATAGACCCCACAATTCTTGGGTACAGGTTCGTCTTTGGCGGTTCAAGAGAAAATATAGCAAAAGAAGAAAGAGTACCAGATCGTAGACTGGATGAAGCAACACAACCTAGCGCATTGATAAAGAGTTTCAAATGAAGAACTTCTTGACTTGTGAAAGGCTCTTAATGTTCAAGTTTCATGTAGCTGTAAATTACCTACCAAAAGAAAGAGTAGTTGGAGACAGTATATCAGAATTTCCGGTCTCGAGGGGGTAATTTATGGACCTATCAACCAGTTCTGAAAGCTGAGTTCTCACGGCTTCTTTTAGGACCACCACATAGCTATGAAAATAATATGTGACTGAAGAAGAAGTTTTAAACCCAAAAATTGCTTGACCCCTCTCGAGTGGTCAGCACCAGGTCTTTCTGTAAATACCGGTAGAAAACCACTATATCTGGTTAAGAAGACAAGGAAAAGCTGAAGAGGGTTTCTTATCTAGGGCTATCACATGATCCATCTTCCATCGGAAACGCACCAGTTGCCTGGCGCCTCAAACTGATGAGTGACTGGTGTTGTCCGCCTCGTCACACAGTCCCGTGCTCACTTCAGGATTTGTTGGGCAAGCAACCGCAAGAGAGGATTTCATTGGGCAAAACGACTGCCAGCAAATGCCACGGAATACAAACCCTTGCAAATAGGTTGGCGTTGATGATAAGGGGTCGTTCGTTTGGTGTAGCATGTGTATCGATGTCGTGTCCATGTATACAAAGAAAGGCAACAAGTAGAGGTATTCCAAGCATGCCAATGCATTTGCATCTAACTGCGACTGCAAAGGATTGCAGGACCTCTTCTTGGGATGCTCCTACTCATCAAATGCCGAATCAAATTGCAGAGGAAGGGGCCAAACGCTCAGTAAATTCAAAGTAATATAATATCCTCTGCCAACAGAATGATGGTCGGACTGGCAGGTGCAACTGTAGCCGGCGGCAATAACTTCCTCGGATGCACAGTGCAATCAAAGACTTTGAAGAAGAAAAAAATAGATACTTAGTAACTAATGATAAAGATCCACAAGAGTGGTGAATTGTCGTTGACCTGCCCTCCCCCCAGCCAGAGCTTCAATCTTATTTTCACGTGCCACCGTAAGCGAACTCTTCCTGTCGCCAGCCAGCCGCCCAGGCGCTCAATCGTCACATCGTCCTGTGGAACCTCTTTTGTCTACTTTGCTTCGACACGTAAACATCCAACCCACCCTCAGCCATCAGACCTCCATATTGTTCCACTCCTTAACGAATATTTGCTACGCACTCACTGCATACCAACTCTTGCAAAAATGACGACCGAAGTAAGTTCTCTACCCGCCCTGCCGTACCGTCTCTGTTTTCTTCCCCTCCATGGCCGCCTTCCTTATCAACCGCGTTTCTATCGCCATGCGTGCAAAACCATCGTACTGGGGGGCTCTCTTGCTGACTCGGTGTCCCATTTCTAGCGTGAAAGGTTCGAAAAGCTCCCATGTCCGGCGACAAAACGCCATTATCCTCCATTTGATAGTCTCACATCCACTGACAAACTCACAGCAAGACCTTCCTCGCTCGGCTCTGCGAGCAAGCTGAGAGATATGACGAGATGGTCACATACATGAAGGAGGTTGCCAAGGTACGCGATCTTGCTATATACTAGGATGTCCTTGGAAGACACATACTGATGATGTGTGATTCTAGCTGGGCGGAGAACTCACTGTTGATGAGCGAAATCTTTTGTCTGTCGCATATAAGAATGTCGTTGGAACTAGGCGTGCTTCTTGGCGCATAATCTCGTCGATCGAGCAGAAGGAGGAGTCCAAGGGCACCGACAAGCACGTTTCGACCATCCGCGATTACCGTCAAAAGATCGAGACCGAGCTCGAGAAGGTCTGCCAGGATGTCCTTGATGTCTTGGATGAATCCTTGATCCCAAAGGCCGAGTCTGGCGAGTCCAAGGTCTTCTACCACAAGATGTATGTCTTATCGGCTGCGATGGGTCCACACTGCGCCGCATGCAAGGCTCTTTTGCTAATAAGAATCATTATCTAGGAAGGGTGATTACCACCGTTACTTGGCTGAGTTTGCTTCCGGCGAGAAGCGCAAGGTTGCTGCTACTGCCGCCCATGAGGCATACAAGGTATGCGCGCATTTTGCAATTTGATCTGACCATGTTTAATGTTGTGCCTGGCAGAATGCTACCGATGTGGCCCAAACCGAGCTTACCCCAACCCACCCCATTCGCCTTGGACTGGCCCTCAACTTCTCTGTCTTCTACTACGAGATCTTGAACTCACCGGACCGTGCTTGCCACCTTGCCAAGCAAGCTTTCGACGACGCTATCGCCGAGCTAGATTCTTTGTCTGAGGAATCCTACCGTGACAGCACCCTCATTATGCAATTGCTCCGCGACAACCTTACTCTCTGGACTTCTTCAGATAGCGGGGAGCCCGAGGCAGCCGCCACTGAGGCACCCAAGGAGGCTGAGAAGACCGAGGAGAAGACTGAGCCTGCTGTGGAGCCGAAAGCTGAGGCTGAAGCTGCGCCTGCAACCGAGTCGTAGATCTCTTCTTCTCGCTTCGATTTCATATGCTTCTGCTGGTATACCTAGGTTGCTGGTAGTGTGGTTGCAGCATGGGTAGGGGATGGGAGTTGATATGAAAAGCAGAACGAGTGCCTTTTGCGAAATCGTGCGATTTGCGAAATACACCATCCTGCGAACCTGATGACCATGTCTTTTCTTTTCTGGTTGCGATGTTTCTCTCTGCGGTCTTTTCACATCAGGGGCGTGTTTTGCAGATGGGGCCTTCTTAGCTTCTGAAGCAGGCCTCTGCGATGGAATGCATTTTTCACAAAGAGCCTCAACGGCACAAAGCTTGTTAGGGAGATGATATTGACAATGGATACCTCGGAATCTCTCTTATTTGCAATGCGCTTTAGTACGCTCTGGAGGGGTGCTTTCTGGTCTAGATATCCCTAGGAATTTCTTACATCCCACTGCGTTGTCCAGCGAAATACGCCTCTCTATAGCCTTCGTAACTGCCTTCAGGTATGTAGCTAAGGACGATGAATCCACATAACAAACCTCTCGGTCTATCTGAATGTGATAGTGATTTCACCATATTTTGAGATGCAAGAATATCTCATCTTGCATGAGCGATTATTATCCCAGCGGACTGGAGATCTCTGAGATGGGATATCTAACCTAGATGACACTTCAAACGGTGAGCTGATGAGCTACTGGGTTCTGACCTGACCTGCCATGTACCTACCTTGATTTAAGACGCCAAGACAGTAGATATCACAACTATTCCCCTCATCCAGAGGAAACTCCGCCATATAGTTACCGTGCTTTCGAATAGTCCGGCACGATCCAAAAACATACCATTTCAACGCCTACCGAAGGCATTTTTCCTATCGAGCACACGTCCCCCTCTTCACCTCCAAATTCACCTTGACCTCCTACGCCGTCTTGACAGCAACATCCAACAATCTCCTCGCCCTCTCCAACCTCTCGGCCCTTTCCCTCAACTGGCCCCCAATGCCACACTCACTACCCTCCCCAAGCTCCATACTACCGATACTGCCTTCCCCCTCTTCACCAACGCCGATCTTCGCAACGCCCTCATCAGCATGTGCATATCCACTGCCCGCACTAGTACTACTATACGAGTACATCTCCGTCCTCACACTCTCTTCTCCATCTCTTTTCCGGCCTCCCTCATAGGCGAAAGGGAAGGGAGACTGCGGCTGCTTGGCGCGTTTTGACCCTAGGATTTTTCTCCAGAAATTTGGACTTGGGTTTGAGCTTGGATGGGGCTGGGAAGTTGGGTGAAGCTGTGCTTGGAGGGGCAGGAAGCATGCGGAGACTTCGTGTCGCCATACTTCGATGCTGGTGAGTGATTTTGGGGTTTGTGACGATGGCATTTTTTATTCTCCGTTTCTCGGTTGTTGTGATTGTGGTTGTGGTTGTGTTTGTTTAAGCCACTTGTTGGAAGATGAAGTGGTGGCGTCTAGAGGTGGAGGGCATTTTGGAGGTATATGTGGGTGAGCGTGGAGGGGGGAGCCGGGGGTGTGATATGATCAGGCGATGTGGAATGCAGGTGGAGTGTCTTAGATGGCACCACTTGACTTTGTGTATACAAATATGTATGCATGCATGTAGATGTAGGCGTGAAAGAATTTGTTCAGAAGAGTTTGGTCAGATGGGAGGATGAGGATTTAAAGGGTAGATAAAGTTGTGGGAGAGTGTCGATCATCACGTGGTGGGGGCTTTCGCGCGGGCCGAGCCTTTAGGGGATTTGGTTGTGGATTGTCATAATTTACTTCTATTGGTTTTTACTCGTCTCAAGGGGGGGCTTTCGGTTGTGAAGTTGGAAGACGACGGGGGAGGGGGGGCTTTTACTAGTAAGCCATTCTAGGTGCATCACCGGTCTTGTGCGAATTAATACTCCGGAGTAGCTCGACGACTGCTCATTAGGATTTGAAGATCAGCTTGACTTTCTGTTTCAAGCAGATTTCTATTAGTCCGATGAGAGGTTGAATATGGAAGGCATAATATTCTAGTAGTTTGATCAGATGTCTAAGGGGCCCCTCCATGAATGACTAGAATACATCATCTACTGCAACATATATTCGTCAGCACGAAGTGTCTGGACGGCAACACCGCTTTCATGAGACCATACCCTGGATAGGTCCAAGGACCAGCCAAAATATAGCCCACATCTCATTTGATTCGGTAGTGAGTAGCAAGGTATCATAAGAGTTTGCCTCGCCATTCACATGTTCTATTGCCCATACTGCCACTAGCAATCACGGCGATAAAATGCCGCAATAAACAGATACGGCGGTAAATCAATTGCACAGTTAAGGGTCGAAACCTCGGCGGGATGGGTTGTGTTTTGATATCATTGCAGCTTTTCAGCTGCATGCTCGAATTCGTGGTCTATCATGCAGAGCACTTTAAACGACTGGACTGATCACTGTCCTCATGTATACGCCCCCTGATACTTGTCCATATTCTTCGCCTTGTAAGTGATGGACGTTGCGGGTTTGCCCAGAGCAGGCGCTGGGATGGGGTAATACAAGGTCCGACCCTGCCATGTGATTTCGAATCTCGATCAATGCTTGGAATTTGGCAGAATATTGCACAGAAGGGATTTTGTGCGCAGCACCATTAATTCCTGATATTCAGAGCTTTGAAACCATGAAATGAAATGACGCGTAAATTGCGCCCACGTCTTTGTAGGAGTGGTCCATAACGTGCTGAAGTGAAGCTGAAGAGATTGGTTTCACAAATAGAAAGGCTTTGAAAGCATGTTAGGGCTTTCTCACGCAGTTCGCGTTGCAACACACAAACCTCTTCAAGCACTCAGCCACTGAACAGCAATTTACGATATGTTACCTCAACAATCAAAAGGGTCCCGAGAGATTAATCCAATAGATAGAACGTGCACAAGTATGAACAAAGTGAATCGATACCACAAGGTATAGGCTAATAGATGATAAATGCCCGGTATATAATTATTTGCCTGAGACACAGGTATGGGCAGGTATCGCACGGGCATACCATGAATACCCCAGAACAACTCTCGCTAATGAACAGGATTTCTGAGGAGGATACTTAGAATTGAATGCTCTCGAAAAAGAGGTTTGGGCTTATCACCCCAATTGAAGCCTGAGCGCTTGCGGGACAGCAGTGGAAATGAAGCAGCAGCCAGATCCCACACCAGCTTCTGCGACCAGACGAGGTCTAAGGCCTCATGCTAGACTTGAACAATATGCCGTAGAATAAGTGCTTATTATCGAAACGGGCAAAAAGAAAAGACAGCCCCAAACGCGGTGTTGCAAGCTGAGCCCCGGTTTTGAAATGAGGAAGGGAGAAAGGGATTTGGTAAATATAGTATAAGAGAAGGGGCTTCAGAAATTGTCATTGAGATCATGCTCCTTAGAAGCGTTCATTCTCTTCCTATTAGATTGATACTGTGTATCGTTCATCATTAGCCATATTATGAAAAAGAAGTAGAAGCGGGCTCCAGAGTTTTCACCATAAGTCTTCGCTTCGACGCTAGCACCACCTTTGGCTTAGCGCTTGCGCTAAAGATAGCTTAGATCGGCTCAAATCGGTAAATAAGGTACCATTAGAATCTGAGGCTCGCTCACTTGTCGACAGGAGCTGAGCTGATGCCAATATATCCCCGTCTCTTCCTACCTTTCGCCTTGCACAGAAGATTTTATCGCGACTGTTCGCGTTCATATAATCCTTCTATCGACAAAGTGTTGCCGCGGCGCAAACCATCCCTTCACCACCAGTCAACATCTTCGACGCGCCTTAACAACCCACCCATCGTCCATCCTTTGCGACCAGTATGTCTGATTTTAATTATGGAGGCACGGATGAGGAATCGGCAGAAATAAAGCGGTTGAACAATGAGGTCGTAAGTTTCGTGCCATGCGCTCCTCTAGATTTTGCTGACTCTTTGCTCAGCTAGAAAATACGGACAATTTCGAGAGCTGGGAAAAGCTTGTTCGCGCCGCAGAGAGCCTCGAAGGCGGCTTAAATCGCAACTCCAGCCCCCAAGCTATTGCAACTATACGAGATGCCTACGACCGGTTCCTTGCCAAGTTCCCTTTATTGTTTGGATACTGGAAGAAATATGCCGACTTGGAATTCTCAATTGCTGGCACCGAGGCCGCTGAAATGGTAAGGCCGGGATGTCGGATGCGCTGTGGGCTTTGCTGACTATTGTTAGGTCTTCGAGCGAGGGATAGCCAGCATCACCATTTCGGTAGACCTATGGACAGACTATTGCTCTTTCAAGGTCGAAACTAGCCATGATCCAGACGTGATCAGAGAGTAAGTATACTGGACTCTTTCCTTCCCTTTAACACAGACATCTGCGATCGACACAACCGTTATTACCGTGCGCACTTTACTTGGAGAGTCTTCGGGTTGCAGATGGTGAGAATTGCCAACAAAAGTCGCTCCCTGTTTTGATCGTCTTCTCACCCAAATGATCAGGTTCTTTCCTTCTGCTATTACTCGTTCGCTTTCACATCGTATTACTACACATCTAAACCCATGCTTGGATAGGATGGAAATTGAGGAACACTAGTTCAAGCACACTGCCCTTCCCGTATTTGCACTCTTTGCCATTCCACACCCTTCTCCCCCTTAAGAACCCGACTGACAAACGTTGATAGGCTATACGAGCGTGGCGCATCGTCAGTTGGGCTAGATTTCCTAGCCCACCCGTTCTGGGACAAATACCTAGAATTTGAGGATCGTCTAGATGCAGAAGATAGGATTTTCGCCATCCTAAAACGAGTTATCAACATTCCCATGCATCAATATGCCCGTTATTTCGAGAGGTTCCGCGGTCTAGCTCACAGACGTCCATTGCCAGAGCTTGTACCTGCCGAGACCTTGGCTACCTTCCGTGCTGAAGTCGAAGCGGAGGCTTACCAGACTGGTCCCAAAGGCGAGCAGGAAATTGAGCGAGAACTACGCTCAAAGGTTGATACATTCTATCTGGATGTCTTCACTCGTACTCAGACCGAGACCACAAAGCGATGGACTTATGAATCAGAAGTCAAACGTCCATATTTCCATGTCACCGAGCTTGATCACGCGCAGCTAGCGAACTGGAGGAAGTATCTGGACTTCGAAGAGTCCGAGGGTGATTACACCAGGACCATCTTCCTGTACGAAAGGTGCTTGGTAACCTGCGCATTTTATGACGAGTTTTGGTTCCGATATGCTCGATGGATGTCCGCCAAGGAAGGAAAACAAGAAGAAGTTCGAAACATCTATCAACGAGCAAGCACGCTTTACGTACCGATCAGTCGACCCGGCATCAGGCTGCAGTATGCTTATTTTGAGGAGATGTCCGAGCGTTATGACGTCGCCAAAGATATTCATGAGGCCATCCTCGACCGCATCCCAGGCCACGTAGAGACCATTGTGTCCTGGGCAAATCTAGAACGTCGTCAAAATGGCCTTGAAGCTGCCATCGAAGTCTACAAAAACCAAATTGACACACCCGTTGTTGACTTGTTTGCAAAGGCTGCTTTCGTTGTTGAGTGGGCTATTCTATTGTGGAAGATCCAAGGCTCCGTAGATGAGGCTCGCCAAGTCTTTCAGAAGAACCAGCAATGGTATCTACTAAGCCGCCACTTCTGGGCCAAGTATTTCGAATTCGAGATCTCGCAGCCTACCAGCCTTGCTACGGAGTCTGAGCATTACGAGAGGATCAAGAAAGTCCATTCGGATATGATTCAGCAAAGCCGCATGGCTTTAGCCACGAAGAAGGACCTCAGCAATTACTATTTGACGTATCTACAGCAAAGGGGGACGAAGGAAGCAATGAAAGAATTCTTACAAGTTGACAGGGAACTTAATGGGTAAGTACCTACACACATAACGACAATCTAAATGCTAATTTTATTCGTAGTCCCTCCTCGATTCAACCTGTGAACCTCAAAATAGAAGGTGGCAAAGGCTTGGAAAACGGACATGGTGCTGGAGAAGTCGACGAGGCAATTCTCCGAAAGGGTGAAGTGCAGTACAGCACTTATTTTCAGCAACATGGTGAAACCCTACCCCCAACCGCTGCAGGGCTTGCTAGTTTCCATTAAATGCCCCGCCTCAGCAAGTGTAAGACGCTTTTTTAAGGGGTAGGATTTTTTACCTCGCCACGCTTTATTGCAGGGCGGTCGCTTCGCATGTAATATACTGCCTTTTTGTCTTGCTCGAGTGTACTCTAACTAGCTACTGCCATTTGCCAAGCACGTCTTGCCTATGGCGGACGGACGGATGCATTGCCAATTCGCGTTTCTTTGCCCGCAATAGAAATAATCTATGAGCTAAAAGTCTTTCCAAACATGGATTTTTCAATATCAATATTTTTCATACTCTCGCGGCCGGTGGACATCCACATATACAGTGCTAGATTCAACCCAGCTATGGCAATATGCATACACCCCGTTCCATCAAGATACCCATATACTATCTGCAAATTTCTCCCTCTGTTCCACAACCAGCCCTGCAAACACGAACCCACTCCTAACCACAAACCCTCTCCACGCCTCTCCTGCCCACCGCTAATTTTGGCGGCGGCGTCGTGGCCCCAAACCCCTCTCCACGCCTTCGGCGAATCCGCGCCGGTGCTGTTACTGAGCGCGGTTAATTCACAGCCCATAACGGTCTGCCCGGTGGCGGTGGTCGTGTTGCAGTATATGCAGCAGCCTGCAGGTGAGCAGTCAATGGTCAATTGCTCGCGGTATTCAGATCTCCTGAGACTTCTACACTTTCACAACGTTTGATTTCCCCACGTTCTGCAGCTGTCAGCAAAAGCTCAGGACCATTGCTAAACGAAGGATAAGCCAGTCTTTGTTACTTTAGCATTATCATCAGGCACGGATATCTTTTCTTTTAGTGCTTTTTAATACGTTTTAGGTTTTGTTACAGATTATAAACATCACACCTTTGTTTGCTCACCTTTCATTATTCTTACGTCCAGTTTGATATTCTCATTCATTCCTTGACCTATACTATTACGAGAATTTATTTCCTCTAATTAAGCCTCTAGGCATCGCTGCATTGTCTCGTGCAAGTCCTTTGATGATTCGAGACTACACAACTAACTACTTACAAATATGCCAATCGAACAGGTGTGTTAATTATTCAAACTCTCGCCTATGATTCTCATTACTAAGACTTCCAGGCTCATTCTACCTGCCCTCATGAAACGGCACTTGACAGAATGGGCGTTATACAAGTTGCATAGACACCATACCGCGCAAGACCGGCAGCGCCAGCTACTACGAGAAAACTCTCGAGGCCATCCATCTACGGACGTGAAGTTCCCTTCCACGACGTCGTCTGTCAGAATACCACAACTTGTCTAGTAGCCAACGGAGAGTCCATCACCCACACCAACACCTACACGGTGGACGCCAGCCTCGCGAGCATACTTGATACTATGTTAACAATTTATGTCATCCACCCAACAAGAAACACTCCGTAACCCCCTCATAAAGAGGTAGTCCAGTCACGAGACTCACTCCTCGGCTAAATACACCCCACCCCCCTTGTCAACACCACCGCTGAACACACCGCCGACCCTTTACAAAGTACAATTCACCGTCACGCACCGCCGAGCCATAGCTCGATACAGGCAAATTGATCAAGAGTTTTGTTGCACGTCGCAGCGAGTTTGACGTTGGAATAAGGTTGAGGCTAGGGCGCAAAAGGTTCAGATGAAGATATATCTTCCTTCTCTTACCGGTGCCTTTTCGCCAAAGAGGGAAAGGTCGGGATCTGCGCTAGGAGATGATATCAAGATATGGGGATAGGATAGGATAGGAATGTTGGAGACGGGAGGGAAATGTATGAAGAGGGGTGTGGCAAGGATTGAAGCACGGTAGAGTAGTATGGATCGAGTTTGTAGGGGATTATGGAATATTTGAATGGAGTCGCAACTTTGCGTTTGTATCTTGCAATATCTGAAGGTATCGAGGAAGCATTGTAGGTCTGATAACCTCCTGAGCAGGGAGGTGCGCCTAGATGGTTGGGGAGACGTATCAAGATTATTGTTTGTGGATGAATTGAATTACATCTTCGAAGCCGAGACCTTTGCAGCCTCTGCCGCTTTCGCAGTCTCCGAATTTGGTTCCGTTAGGTCTGGTCCACCCGGGACCTTCTCACCCAGCTTTCCCATCTTCTCTAACATCTCTATTATGGGCTCGTCTCCAAAATGGTCATTACACTGCATCGTGTCAATTCTCTGTCTTTTGTAGGGCTTGCCATTGGATTGATCGAAGAACGTACCGGAAATGTAGGCTCCTCTCCATAAGCCACTCTCGCAGCATCAACAATCATTCGTGCAGTCATGCCCCAGACTTTATACCTCGCCAGACCTTCATCTTCCTCTCTATCCAATTCCTCCGCTATAGCCGCCTGTCCCCCTTGTCTCACTTTCGGCTTCGACACTTTCTGGTTGTTGATGGGGACGTGGAAATTATGCAGCCTCCATTTCCCATCATGCCAATCTACCCAACGCCCATCATACCAATCTGTCACCTGCCCGGGCACCTTATCTCCGTCCCTCACTTCGTCTTCGGGTTTCAGAAAATTGTGGAACGGAGCTGAGAATACTGCTGCTACTTCTTTCGCATCTAAGCGGGGTATCATGCTGTCTCCCACGCTCGCCGCCTTGACATCGTCCGAGTGAAGGAAGGCTACGCAGGGACGGACTGCTAGCGCCGTCTTTGCAAGACTGTTTGGGAGTTGGCAGAGATGTTCGATTCGGAACGGCGCGGGGATTTTCGAATCATCGAGGGGAAGTCCGATTTCTTCAAACGCTTCTCGTCGTGCTGTCTCCCACGGCGTTTCTTCCAGGCTATCTGCTTTGCCACCGGGAAAAGCTGCTTGGCCTGTACGAGTGAAGTCAATACCGGCATTTGAGACCTGGAGGCATGAAACTACCAGAGAAATTTCTTAAGGTCGCTGCCCGCATTGTAAGTACTACCCGAAGATCACCTCGGCGGTCTGCGAAGAGCAAGACCAGAACGGCCGCTCGTCTGCTTAAGGGTAGACGATCCCATACCGAGAATGGAGGTGGATTGTATGCTCTGAGTCGGGCTATCGCTGCCTGGGATTTTCTTCAGAGTGGTTCTTGTAGGTTGTACTGTACCTTGAATACTGACCATCGAGGCAGGAGTGAGAGCAGCCATAGAACTTGGATCAAAATATTGAGCCTCTTGTATACTTTTGCGAATATCTTCTACCCCGTTCTCATTCTCATTCTCATTCTCATTCTCATCATTATCGGATTTAGGATCAGTATTGATATCCGTTTCGCTGGGAATAGCTTCACTCATGCTCAAAATATGTATACGTCTAAACCTCGACCGCGGCTCGTCGTTAACATAATGCGGGGTGGAAGTGTGCATGGACCATCCCTGACTTGGCATGCTAACCCCAAATGAAGATACTAGTATAACCTCAGCCTGACTGATAAGCTGTTCCACCAACGATCTGCTACATGTATATATACAACCAAACGCCCGAAATGGTGTCATTACACTAACTCCCGTCACATCACTAGAGCATTGCAGCAAATCATTGGAACGCGATGGCGCAATGCAGTCTAAGAAGGCCCGTCCAACGTCCCTTTGTTATCAACAGGCAAGATCGCCGGCAGGGACCAAGGACCATGGGAGTGCCATATACCTATTCGGCACTTGGTGTAAGGTATAAAGAGATATATATAAGAAGGAGTCTTTGCTATCTACACTTACAATAAAAGATAATCGTAGCACAGCACAGCACAGCACAGCACCTCAAGACATACCAGGACACCCAACTCAACAATGGCAACCCCAATCCAGCAAAACCTCATTGACTCCAACAAGACCTACGCCTCCACCTTCACCAGCGGGCACCTCGCCCTCCCTCCCGCCAAGAAATACGCCATCTGCACGTCTTCCTTTTCCCTCCCCTCCCCTCTCCCTTTCACCCCTCTAACCCAACACCAGTAACCTGCATGGACGCACGCATCGACCCCGCAGCCGCCTATGGCATCCCGCTCGGCGACGCGCACATAATCCGCAACGCGGGCGCCTCGGCCAAAGACGCGCTGCGCTCGCTCATCATCTCCGAGCAGCTGCTCGGCACGCAGGAGATCCTGCTCCTCAAGCATACGGGTTGTGGGATGCTGACCTTTGGGAATGAGGACGCCGTGGGGCTCGTGAGGGGGAACTTGGGGGATGCGGGCGTGGATGAGTTGGCGGCTTTTGGGGGTGATTTTTTACCGTTTGCTGACTTGTGAGTTTGTGACTTGACTTTCTTTGCCTTGGAGACCTATATATATATATATAAGTGTTGATTATAAAGCTGTTTGGGGAGAGGGGAGTGGACAGACAAAATGCTGACGAGAGTTTTAGGGAGACTGCTGTTAGGAAAGATGTTGAGTATCTGAAGCAGAATAAGGCTATTCCAGACAGCGTCGCGATTTCGGGCTGGGTGTACCAGGTTGAGGATGGGAAAGTTAAGCATATCATTTAAGTGAGTGATTGCTGCGAGTTGGGCTTCGGAGTGGAGTCTCGAGGAGCGTGGTCTGTGGACTGGTCAATATCATAATCAATTAACCGATAGTCATCGCAGTTAGTATTGAAAACTTCCCATTCAAATCCTTTCTCCCTTTGAAGTTCACACACCATTCTCTACGTCTGATCCATGTCAATGTTTGAATAATGTTCCTTTTACTACCCGCTGCGTATATATTATTTTGTTACATCAAAATCTCTTCTGGTAAGCCACCTACTCCTCTCAAAAACTCCCAACCCAAGCATTATAATTAGCACACCCATCCGCTAAACTTGTACCAGCAGTAATTGCCGCCCCAGTCCCACTATTCACCACAACCCCCGCCCTCAAAACGCTAAACTTCGGCGTCCCAGTCTGCCCATCAAACGGCACGCTCCAATGATTTATGCCCGCCGAGCCCTGGAACGTCACCGCCTGCCCGCTCCCAATCTGCACTTGCACCTGCGCAGCACTCACCAACAAGGCGCTGAAAAACACCCCGTCTTCCAAGATCTGGTTGGGAGTCGTGGTCGCTTGGCCGTTGGAGGCAGAATTGCCTACGACGCCACATGTGCTGCCGGTGTTGACGGGGGCTGTGCGGTACCAGTATTGCATTTGGTCCCGCGTGGGAATGAGGGGCGTGCCTTTGTAGGCGGCGATGTAGTAGGGGAGGAAGTCGCGCCAGGAGTCGTGCGGCATGTTTTGCACGTACTCGAGGGAGCCGGCTGCTACGTCGGCCGTGTTGGATATGGGGCCTATGTAGTGGGCTTCACCAAAGTCGTTCCAAGTTACGATTCTGTGGGTTGTTAGATATCAGACAAGGGGGGATAAGTTAAGGGGAGGGAGACTTACTGTACAAAGTCGGGCTTGATGTCTAAGGTTTGAGCCCATCTATCGGCCCAGAGGGAATCACCTCGCCAGACCCAATCCTCACCTCCACTGGCACTGTGGAAGAACCAGGGAGAAACACCCATCATGTACGTCTTTCCCGGCGTAGCAGCCTTCCAGCTCTTATCAATCGCATCCGTCTTATTCGTTCCTCCTAAGGGCCACATATCCCAGCTGAAGAAGCCCTCGATATTGTCAAGCTGGGCTCCAATGTCCGCCTGTCCAATACTGTTCCAATTGGGCACGAAATGAATTGCCCCAACCTTTGACCGAATAAGTCCACCTGGCGCCCAGTCTGCGGTATTATCCTTCCCCTCGAAAGTCGAGACGAACGGTGCGCTGTTGTAGTGGAAGTATGCCGCATTGTCCTTGTACTTTAACAAATACGACACCACGGAATTTGGAGGATCAGCTGCAACGTCGCCAGCAGGCCACACCTGCCCACCCCCCAGATAGTCAAACGCAAAGAACAGTTTGAAACCAGTCCCCGCCGCCGCGGCGAACGCATTGGCAACCTGCGTGGGGATGTTGGAGTCTGGGTAGCCCATGTTGAGGACGAACGCATCGATGCTGGCGGCTTGTGCAAGCTTGATATCAGCGGTCCATGCTGCGACATTATGAGAAGCTGTATTCCCAACCACGACGTGTGCGAAAACCGACCCGGCCGACGCGGTTTGCAGAAGGAATGTGGCTGCTGCCAGGAGAGGCGTGAAGAACTTCATCATGTATATATATATAGTTATCCGAGAAGGGCAAGGTAATGAATGTACACCTAATCAAATGAATGAATAGATGAACGAATGGATGGATGGAAAAGCAACAAGTGCGTGCTTGCTGAGGAAAGAAGAGAACTTAAAAGGCTGCAACTAGGAGGTACCGGTATATATCATATCACTTACTTGCTCCGTACCTAACCAGCAGCCCCAAAGTCACCCGCCTACTGGGTACCTTGCTTGCCACCAACCCTGCCACCACAGGTAAGCCCCACTGTGCGATCGCATACGAGCACTGTACGCCGTACTCAGCCCAACCATCTGTCCATCTCCAGAGGATTCATTGCCCATCATTGGATGGACGGGGCGGCAGTATGATTAAATGTTGAAACGAATCCCTTTTCGCACACTGCAACTGCTGTACGGCGTATGCATGGACATTGCATGTGGGGTAGTACTAGTGCTAGCAGGTACGGAGGTACGGCAAGGCAGGAGTTTATTTCCGGCCCTTTTTGAGAAAGGGGGTTGTTGTTGTAGTTGTAGTTGTGGCTGAGCTTGAATTCGAAGGTTGACGTACGGTACTGTACCTGATCGTTCGTGCAGAACTGCTGCACTGTACAAGTAGGATTGTATGCATGCAGGTAGGGTACAGTACGATCGATGCAAGAGTACAAGTAGGATGAAACGTATGATGCACGATCGCTCTGTTAATCTCCCCTCCCCACCATGAACAGGTACTGTAGCCCGTTATGGAAGGTCCCGTCCCATATAGACAGTAAATAGTACTTGGTCACAGGACAGGCCAAACTGTTATTGATGCCAAGAAGACCAGGGCAAGGGGGCAGGGCCTATCTTTGGTGCGTTTACTTACCACCCTTCTTAACCCCCCTGTGCGCAACTCATCCGTTCAGTGGTTGCTGGGTACGAACGTTTAACTAAATAAAATGGACGTTTTTAAGTACTAGAAATCTATGTAAAAAAAAAAAATTATCTTTTACACTTGTAGGGAGTTCGTTTGATGTGTCCATGACATGTCAATAATACGGTACTAATTTACAAAGTACCTATAGGTAATCGAACGTCTTTTGCGGCTGGCTGCGGTTGCGGCTGCGATTAGCATGTCGAATTCGGGGATGACGCGAACCCAAGCTATCTATTGAAGCTGGGGAAAGAGTGAGTGGGCTGTGGGATTCGGATAAATAAACGTCTGATAAATGATGCGTGCATGCAAGGAAAAACAAAAGGAAGGGTCGGGAGGATCATATAAAGTTGTGTCAGATCTAAGATGGGAAATTTGGATTGCAATTCGTTTCATCGTATGCATGGTCCAATGACGGAACCCCCCTGCAATATTTATTTTTAAATCCTACAGCCTCATCTCATTTCCCCAGACTCAATTGCCAGCCCCCAACTCCTCGTAAAAGGTACCATATTCACAATTGCAATCTGAAGGTAGCCACCTCAAACGGCCTCAAAGTGATGTCGAGCTTGCCATCCTTGATCCTGAGCTCTTCCTCATCATCCTCCAAGATGTTAGCCTTCCACACTCTCTTCACATCCAAAGTCGTCTCAATTGTGCCCTTGCTGGTGCCTCCCAAGCTGTCATAGATGCGCAGAATAACACTCTTGCCCTTTCGCTTGGGCAACTCTCCACGGCTGACATCCTCATCATCCTCTCCTCTCTTGATAGTATCCAAAATAAGAGATGGGTTACCCGTTAGTTTGATAGGGTTTGTGAATGCATCCATACGCAACGTCTCTTTGGGTGCTTGTACAAGCTTCAAAGGATTATTAAAGTTGTACCCCGTGCGGACCGTAGTAGATCCGAGATCACCTTGGTGCGGGAGGATTGCCCATCGGATGTTGTGACGTCCCATGTCCGCATGCGCATCTGGTGCCTTAGGAGCGCGAAGAAGTGAAAGGCGCATCAGATTGCCACAAGTAGCGAAGCCGTATTTACTATCATTCAAGATCGAAACACCATAACCATGCTCCGAGAGATCTGCAAACTTGTGACAACAGACCTCGAATTTTGCCATGTCCCATCTGTTTCAATTAGCACGTTCGTATTTGAGAGTTGGGGAGGATTGCCTACGTAGTGTTGTAATGAGTTGGGCGTCGAACAATCCCAAATTGCGTCTCGTATGAAGCCTCGGTATTTCTAACGTCGACGGGGAATTCAACCTTCAGGAATTTCATACTCTCTTGCCATTCAACTTCAGCATGCATCTCAACATACGACTGTTGATCTTTGAATGCCGCTGAAAGGCTGATGTAGGTCTTGATCCAACTCTTCTCGCTGATCTTCGTCTCAGTCATGACACTAACTTGGTGCGCATCACTTTGAACAATTTTGGTTGTTCCTGAGGGAAGCTCCTTTCTCGAGTCCAAGTGGAAAACCTCGACGTCCCAAGCTTGCCAGTAGAGTGGCTTGTCATCGAAAATAACAAGCTGATTAGCTTTGCCACCTTTTGGTACGACTTCTCTCTCGGCCTTGCGGTCATAGAGTGAGGAGATACTTCCACCTTCAACTTCCACTCGCAATTGGTCGTTCTCCAAGATGAAGACACCTTTCCTCACTTCCTTGACAGTAACCTCAGGAGTCTCGGCGATCTTGAAAGTCTTGATTTCCAGCAAGTTTCCACTGCCGCAAGCTACTCCAGCCTTATTGTCTCCGATAGAGATGACTTCTCTTCTGTGCCATGGCATTGTGTTCAATGCAATCAAGGTCTTCTTATCGGAGTTGCTGAAGTCCTGAACACCCAAAACACTTTGCAAGTCTTTCAAGATCTTCTCGCCAGTCGTGAATACTTTTGCGTACAGCTATGACCAATATCAGCATACACTCAAAAAGACAGAACCGGCAAAATTTGAAGCACTTACCTCGTCACTATCATCGTAACACATCTCGATCGAGCTTCCGGGCAAGCAGTCATGGAACTGGCACAACAGGACATTCTCCCACATATCATCAATGTCCTCCTTGGGGTATTTGTACCCGTGTTTGACACTGGCAAGAGTGGCTAGCAATTCGATATCATGCAACATAATCTCCGATTTCCTGTTGTTACGCTTGTTGTTTGCTTGGGTCGTATATGTACCTCTGTGCAGTTCGAAATAGAGTTCTCCATACCAAGTGACAAAGTCCAGGCCATCTGAAGCTCGCTTCTCAAGACGATCAAAGAAATCCTCGACCGAATCACCCAATTGGACTCTGGGCAGCATACCTACGGTATCGCTCATTCCACGGCAACGACGCAGCTTCTCCATGTGCTCCCAGGTCGGCCCTCCACCTCCATCACCCTTTCCAAAGACAAGTAGCGAGGTCTCATCTTGATCCATAGATTTATGTTGAGTGACTGACCTCCTCACATCTCCAAAGTTTGCTTCAGCAGTGTAAGTCTCCGCCGGTGCCATGTGGCAAATGACTTGACTTCCGTCCAGGGAAACCCAATTGAAGGTTGTGTGAGGGAAGTTGTTAATGTTGTTCCAACTCAGCTTTTGAGTGAAGAATCGAGACATGCCTGCCAAACGGCACAATTGCGGCAGCTGACTTGAGTATCCAAAAGTATCAGGAAGCCAGAAAGTCCTGCATCGCTCTCCAAAGTTGCCCTCGAAGAATCTCTGCCCGTACAAGAACTGACGGACCAGAGATTCGCCAGATGGCATGTTGGTGTCATGCTCGACCCAGCTACCACCAACGGGCTGGAATGTACCCTTCTTAACCTTCTCCTTGACTCGGTCAAAAACATAAGGGTAATACTGCTTGAGCCATTTGTACTGCTGCGCCTGCGAGCAAGTAAATCGATGCTCCGGGTACCGATCCATGAGATCACATTGATTCGACCAAGATCTGGCGACCTTTCTCTTGGTCTCGGCCCAAGGCCAGAGCCAGCAAGTATCGATATGACAGTGACCAATACCGTAGACAATAGGCTTCGTGTCCGTCTTATAGACTGCCGAGGAGTTAACATCCTTGCCTAAATATTCCTGGGCAATCTTCCGGCCCTTGATGATCGAGTCTTGGTTACCCAATTCGAATGTTTCGATGATCTCATTGGCAACCTTCAAAGCCTTATGCTGCTCCCAAGAATCGGTGGGAAATTCCCTAGCCGCATCCCCAATGATCCAAATATCGATCCATAATTGACGAGCTACTGTATTGACAGCAACGATATCTGCCTTTCCCAATTGGAAGTATTTGTTTGGGTCGGGCGGCTGAATCGTGTCTCCACCAGGAGCATTTCCAAACATGCCGTTGCAAGCCATCTCAATGTATATCGTATGTTGCTTCCCGTCTCGATATTCCTCTGGTAATATCCATTCTACTCTCTCTCCACCACCGGTCAGACCCTGGAGGGGGTTGCCTTCTTCGGTCCATACCATGCCCTCATTATTCGCATCCCAGTGTAGTTCTAGGAGCTCCTTCTTCAGAAGCTCCCCTGGGACTGTGAGCTTGACTTTGAACCAATGCGTAGACCACGATGGACCGAACCAGTCTCCAACCTGTGTGTCTCTAAATTCGTGGCTCGTAGCATCTTTGAAAGTCGGGCGGGTAAGCTCGGGAGCGTCCCAGACTGAGAGTTCGACATGGGGTGATCCGGAGGCGACGCCCTCGTTCATCATCCTATTGATTGAAAGATTAGCATTGGATTAAGGTGCAATTATGTAGAAAATACTTACGCTCGCAGATTCTTGCTCTCATACTGTCCGCCGCCGTAGAACTGACCAATACGGTCCTTGTAGATGTTTGGAATCCATTTTCCAACAGGCTGCGCGGACAGCTTGGGGTAAGAGCTCTTGATCTTTGCAATTTCAAAAGTTTCGCCTCCCATATTTGTGATTGTGATTGTGATATTTGGATTGGAAGAATGCGGGGAGTTGATGATGATGATGGAGAACAGCTGTCCTGCAGTTGGGTGTTGATTGTTGAGTGTTGATGTCAAGCCGGAGCCAGGGCGTCCCAGACAGGGATTAGCTCAAGGCGGGGAAGGAGGGAGCCAGCGGGGTTTCATACGGAGGAGCACAGTCCATGTAAGAAAACCAATCCAATTCACAACTTCTTGTCCTATGATCTCCTATCTAATAACTTGGGCTCTTGTAATCAACTTTGAAAAGGGATTTTTCTTTTAATGTTCCACCTACATTAAGCTGTAAAGCTACCAGCCTGGTCATCTCTTATAGCATGGTCAAGATGTGGATCACGATTTCATGCAGGTACGAAGCTCCTTAGTTAGTGAACCTCGTTAGGACTGTGATAGGCTTAGGCTAACGTTGCTGCTATCCGATTGCTATGGGAACTGCTCCATTTATTCTTAGGAACCTCCAAGAGATTGTCTTCCTAGTTGATTACAATACAATTACATAACGATGGCCTATAAGGATATAGTAGTAGGTTTGACAAAGGAAATGCTCGTCGAGTCTTCTCATCATGCAACAAAACAATCCGCATGCCAGTCGTACAATTCTTGTTTTCTCGTGTCAAACTCTCAAACCCATTCCGAAAGTCGTCCATCTACCATTTCATCAGTATTTATCTTTTGACCTCTCGGAATTCGGGCACTCATACCAGGACCCTGATCTGTAAGCCCGACGACCACAATTTTCTTCCTCAAACTCTCCCTCTTCTTCTCATCAGCCGTCTTGATATTCAGCGTCTTTCTCGCGTTCGAATAAACCTCTTGCATATTGAAGCCCGGCTTCGTCGGCAGTGGCGTATCCGGGCCGCTTGCATCCCTTTCACCATTCTTAATCATGCTCATCTTTTTTATTGGGGGAAAATGAGTACTCGTAGCACGCTTTATTGCCCCCGAAAGTCTTTTGCTGAACCTCTTTCCTTGTGGTTTTGCTTTTGGGCTCGTAGTCTCTGCATCATCGGATTCAGAGGTGTCGATGAAGTTGCTGAATGGGAAAGGGCTCTTTAGTGGATGTTTTCCTGTGCCGAATATGCTTCTCTTGTGTTTCAGAGGCGACACAGTCTCGTGGGGTGATTCGTCGCTTTCATCTAGGGCAAATCTTGCTCGCGGTTTTATAGGTGTGTTTGGGTGCTTTGATTTAGCTGGCGATGTAGCCTGCCAATCGGGCGAGCTGAAGTGTTTCTTACCCGAGGTAGGAGATGTCATCTCGTTGACTCCTGCTGCAAAACTTTCTCTTACGTTTGAAAGTATAGACACCCTTTTCGGAGTTTTGATTTTGACATTTGTATTCCGAAGAGTCAGGGGCTTTGGCACCGGGGCGTCTAGCTCTAATTCTGTGAACTGACGGTGGTACTGAGAGTACAAGTCGGCCGTCCCACTTGCAGTTTTCCACTGCTCCTCTTCCAAGAGCTCGCGCAGAGTGGTCATATCCTCCATATTTACATCTGGTGTATGAAGTAGAGGTAATACCCTTCCGTTTTCCAAAGCCTTTGGCGATCTATCTCGATATCTGAAGGATTCGGCCGGCTCCTTAGATTTGTTCATTGGCCGTCTTTGCTGCGGAGCGACTGGTTCTTGGAATTGCTTTGTTGGTTGTCTTGCTTTCCACTGCGGATCAACTGGCCCCATGATTCCTGCCAATCCTAGTGGGTTATTCAGGGGAGGTACTTTTTCTCTTCTCTGGTGAGGTATTGGTTCTTGTTGCCTCTGTGGTGCTATTGGCCTTTCTCTTCTCTGAAGAGCAACTGGCTCTTGAGGCTGGCTTACTGGAGGTGACCCCTCTCTCCTCTTGGATGCGACCGAATCTTGAGAGCGCTTACTCTTTGGCAAGAGGCATTCTTTCCTCGAGGACTCCAGCGAGGAAATGGAACTAACATCCTTTTCTCCAGAACTATAACTCTCGGCTTTCAGATAAATCTCGCCCCTCTTCTCTTTCGGCTGCGTAGGAGGCCCAGGTTCTTTCGATCCCCAACTGTCAAAGCGGCTAAAGTTGTCGCTTTCATAAGTAGGAGTGTTAGGACTATCTTCAGCTTGACTGTACACGCTTCCTGAACTGGCAGTGGATACGGGAGAAACAGGAGCTTGCTGATGGTCTTTTGGGAATGTTTTCTCGAAGCGGGGATCAAAGCCGGTGAGTTGTAATATTTTATGCGACGACTTTGTCATAGGTTGTACAGAGGTAGACTCTGGAGACAAAACATCGGGCTTGGGTTCGGAATCCGGACGGTAAGATTCTGCGGACATTTCATACACTGGGGTGGGCGTGCGGATTTGGTTGGCGATGTGTTCCCTCGAGCTACTACTCGCGACTCTTTTCTGGTGGTCATCCTTGGGAATCGGAGGAAGGTCTTTGTTGGTGTATTTCTTTGAAGCGGTACTGGGAGTAAGAGAACCAGGTGGGACTGCGATTTCCATTCCGCGGTCAATAAGAGAAGAGGAAGAAGAGTGTAGCTGCTCACTTATGCGCGGCCTCTGAGGCCGAATTTTAGAGGACATAGCTACAATATATGTTTGGAAAGAAGAATATTTTCTTCTACGGCCACACAAGCGTTGCAATTCATTCGAGCAAGGGAGGTTATTCATAGATTCCAATGAACAAAGAATCAGAGCGTATAGAATCTTTGTTCTCGACAGTAGGTCAGGATATTAAGTTCATTGTCTAGGGAAGTAATTCGAGGAGAATAAGATAGGTCATGGACTGCAAAGAACAAAGAACATGCATCCATTCCCGGAACCTCGGGGAATATAGGACATATGAGAAGTTCCATTTTGAAAAGGCGCTGGCGATGGGATCAAGGCTATGACAGAAACATATCAGTATATCCCGCGAAGGAACCAGAGATCCTCGCTTCGAGGCTTGACAAGCCAATCACAAAGGTGCTCGTACAAGTTGCCCGAGAATCGTCATCACATGACCAAGATCAACGCTTGTAAACCACGTGTTTCTAAGTTTAGCAATTCACGGGGACCATTCTCTTGAGCCCTGATTGGATGGTTAGCTGGGTCGACGATGGAAGATGCCGCCCCCCGAGGCTGTGAAGCGTGCGAAGGATTGGAAGCGGCGACTGGTGGATACGTCACGTACTACAGGACTCGACTGACTGGAGTGCAAAGAGTGAAAGACACAGCAGAAGCGAGAGAAGGAAGGATAGAAGGATTCTAGCGTGATCCTCTATGGTACCGGGAAGCGCTTAGTGCCGTCAATTCCTCGTGGTCCCTCAAAATAGCATGCAAACGAGTATTTAAAGATCGGATGAAAGGCGTCATAGCCATCATCTAAAACTTTGGTAAGTCATCGTTATCGTACGTTGGAAAACCGTCGCCCAAAAAGAAAGTTATCCTGACAAGGGTACCTCGCCTGATGCTCTGTAAGAATAGCCGCGAGTACTGTAAGTATAGTCCGATTACAAGGGCTTCTTCTCACCTGCGAAACTACCGATTCATTACTACTCAGAAGTATGATGATTGGTTTGACTGTCTCTGCGATGGAAATTATTGCAAGGCAAGTACCTCGTTTGAGACACACCATTTCTGGCCATGAAAATACGATTCTTCGGCGATAAGCGGCGCCGAATAATTTGGAGGGGCAGGCAGATCAGATGGCGGGGCAAACAGATAAAGGTCAATGATGACTCTACATCGTTTGATTTCAAACTTCTCCTTCAAACATTCTACAACTTCAAAGTATTCTAATTAATCAATCAATAATAAGTCAAAATGCTTGCCGCTCCACTGAACATCCCAAAATGGTTTGCAATATCTCTTTCTTTCGATCCAAGCAGCAACCAATCTAACTAACGAACTTACTACACAAGGCTCCAAGAGAACTCCCATCTCCTCAAACCACCGATTAACAACTACTGCGTCTACGACAAAGATGTCACAGTAATGGTACAGCATCCCCTCATCCTCGTCCTCACGCTCCCCTTTCAACTCCCAAGTCCCCTCTTCCCCAGTTTTTAACAGAGCCCCAAGATCGTAGGTGGCCCCAACGCCCGCACCGACTACCACATCAACGAAACCGCCGAATGGTTCTACCAATACCGCGGCGCCATGATGCTCAAAGTAGTCGACGACTCCACCTTCCGCGACATCATCATCTCCGAAGGCGACATGTTCCTCCTGCCCCCCAACACGCCGCACAACCCCGTGCGTTTCGCGAATACCGTCGGCATTGTTCTGGAACAGAAACGTCCGGAAGGGAGTCTGGATCGCTTGAGGTGGTATTGTGCGAGTTGTAAGAGCGTGGTTGATGAGGCGGCTTTTCATTGTACGGATTTGGGGATGCAGATTAAGGAGGCGGTTAATGCGTTCAAAGGGAGCGAGGAGAGGAGGAAGTGTCCGAAGTGTGGGGTGCTTGCTGAGAGTGCGCCGCCGGTGGGAAGTATCGAGGATCCGAATTTGAAGAAGTGAGGAATGACATATGATTTAATGATGCATGAGGATATGGTTTCCGAGTGAGGGTAACGGGTTATAGATGTGTGAGCCGACGACAGCATCTCCACTCTAGTCTATGTACAGTATACAAAATGTACATTATTTACTACTAACCCTGCTATGTCTCCTTAAACTCATATGTACTCGTGGACTCCTCAACCATCACGTCAATCTTCGCCTCTTCCAACTCCTTGCCTCCAACTTTCAATCCAGCCTTTATCACATCTCCCGGCACAACAGACCCAACACCCTTCGGTGTCCCAGTCAATATAATATCTCCCTTCTCCAGCGTCATAACCTTCGAGATATCACTCAAGATCCTAGGGATCCGGAACAGCATCAACTCCGTCGAATCCGCCTGTCTCGATTTACCATTGATATTGAGGTATAGCTCGACTTTATGCGGATCCGGAATCGCAGATTTCGCAATAATCTCGCTGACTGGAAGGAAGGTATCAAAGCCCTTTGCAATAGACCATGGTAGACCCTTCTTCTTAGCTTCGTTCTGGGCGTTGCGGGCAGTCATGTCGATGCTTAGAGCATAGCCTGTTACAATCAGCATTCGGAGCCATTCGCTGCTTAGGAAGCATCTACGAACTCTCGATAGCATCCAAAGCCCCCTTCTCATCATCAGCCTCAAGATCCTTAACCCGCTTGCCCAGAATCAAAGCCAGCTCGACTTCATAGTGTAAATCCACACCCCTTGGCCTTATGATTGGTCCAGCGCCTGGGGGGAGGATTGCAGACGCGGGCTTCAGGAAGAAGAATGGTTGTTTGGGCTTTGCACTGTTCAATTCGGTAATGTGGTCTCTACAGTTCGGCTTGTTAGCAAATCGTAGAAGAAAATTTGACTCGCAGGAGAGGAAAGTGGGATGGATGTAAACATACGCATAATTCCGCCCAATGCATACAACCTTGGAGGCCTTTTTTAAAGAAGCCATTGAAGCTATTCCGCGGCGGAAGACGAGGGACATGATGGGCAAATAGCAGACAGCGAATGGTGACGAGGATATATTATATCCTCTTCTATGCAGGTTGCAAACCCACGCAATCTTATATCAGATCGGATCGGTATGTTCTTTCACAAGCCGAGGCCGAGAAGTTGGAGGTGGGTGTGGAGCCGCCGATTCAAGGCCAGTGAAGCTTGGACCAAGTGAAAGAAAAATTATTATGTGATTTTGACATCATACACCGTACTACTCCGCATACCACAACCAGCATTCAAATTGTGTTCAATCTCTGAGCAAACTTCTCTCTCCGCACAACACACAATCACCTACAATCACCCCCCCCTCACGTTAATAACCCTCCATCCCACAAAAGAATCGCTCCTCAACACCCCTACCACCACCATGTCCGAATTCCTCCAAATAGCCCAAGTCCTCGCCGACCTCTCCTCCCTCCAAAACACAGTTCGTCCCCCCCTAGCCCGCGCAACTACCTCCCCCCCC